ATTTGCATATTGAAAGTCAAAGTTTATAATAGAACTAGGTAACAATTAAGTTGGAAAAAACGTTTACTTCCATGAATGGATGGCTCAATAAACGATTTCTCTTGATATTTGAGAGGACATCTGAGCGAAAGGATATTTTCACAGTATTTTATGTTTAGTGTATTCTCGAACGGGTCTCTCGTATTTTTAAATAGCTTCCTTTTTGGTCATTTTTATCAGTCTTTCTTTTTTAACAGCGCATTTATTAAATTTGTTTTGCCAAAATTTTGAGGCGGTGTCATTATTTGAGGAGCTTTCGGAGAATCACTGGGCATATTATCTTCGCCTATCTGGCAAGTTTTGCGAACATCTTCTGGTAAAGGGAGGGGGGGGGGGTGCTTACGTTTTCTGAAAATACTATAAGTTATTTAATTGAGATTGCTTTGAAGTGCAATACAGGATATATTCCGTTCCTGTATTGCACTTCAAATCATTCTATAACGTTTTCATAGTAGATCTCAGGCCAATACATTTTACCTAGGAGATAATCCCTAGAAATATTCTGTATTCTCTGTATTGCTACTGAGATTTTCCTATCCGTACCAATATTTTCTGTATTCACGGTGTTATAGCATGACGGTTACGCCAAGGCGATTTGCAAAATTTTGCGGTAACGATAACAAAAAAATGGCGAATGGAAAAGGCAGCATGTCCTCTTTCTCGCCTGTAGGCAATATTTACAGATAAGATTTCCTTTTAAACTAGTTCCATTCGGTGACGTATATATGGATGCTTATAAAGACTGGGTCAAATCTGCCATGTGGTCTACAAGAAACAGAATATAAGCTGTAAACCTACCGACTGAGATATCCAAGTTCATAATTTTTGGTCCATTCTCGTGTTTTCTCAGTACATGTGTCTCAGAGCCACTCAAAATATTAACTGTAAGTAAACTGTGTATAGACAAGGCATAAAATGACAAATCCAGAACATGAACGTGGTGTATATCGTAAATAATAAGGTTTCAAACGCAATTTCGTTAGACGACTACGTATGACTTCTATCGAATTCTATGGACGGTAACGTATTGTATTCGTTGTACATAAGATATTTAGCGGACTGTCACATGCCTGTTCATCTGTCAAGTCAAGGTTGCTAGATCTGATAGCCTCTTTCCATGTTATTGCTACAATTGGTAAGAAATTGAATATTGAATTTCCTATATTTCTTTTCAGGACTCTCAAGAAACGCTCTTGTTTCAGCCTCTATAGGGCAAGGAAAAAAACTGTTGCTTACTTTATTTATGAAACCAATGAAAGTGTAAAAGATAGCAATGAAGAGGCAAAAGTAGATTAAGATCAAGTACTGATGAAGATGACAAAATTTATGACAAAGAATCGGGGTTTCATATTTGAATCAGGTTCGCGTAACCGCCCATCAATTTTTTTACGTTACCGCAAATTCAAAATACATTATTAGGGCTTGAGCAGAACATATTAGGTGGTTTCCAATGCTCAGTTGGCTTTGTATGATCGTATGTAGGTTACATCTATATACCCCAAGGATTTAGGTAATGTAGGCCATGCCCTAACAACAAAAACAAACAAATTACTAAATTTTGTGTAGTTTTGAATTTCAAACTCGACAGTTTTTCTCCTATTTCATGTTATCCCCCGGCATCAATTTGCAAAGACTATGTTCAAAATATACATTACTGAATGCATCACCGATTGCAACGCTTACATAAATCGTTCATCCTTTCATTGATACACAGTAGTAGAAAATAATGCACCAACCTTAGTTTTCCTTTCCATCGCGACCATTTTATTGGATAAATCAGTGAACGTAGCCGTCCAACCTCGTTTTCAGCGGTGGCGTAACCGTCATGCTATAACACCGTGGTATTGCTCCGGAGATGATCAAATGGAACCATCTCAGAAGCAATACAGATTGGTAGAGCACAAGAACTGACCAATCAGAGGGCTTCATTTTACAGATCATACAATAAAAGATTGGATAGCAAGGCGACCAAAACTAAAATATATCATCAAATAGAATGGGGGACCAGTTGAACTCCTCTTTTAGATCAAATGTAATCCAAGTTGAAGGACGTGTTACATTATATTATTACTAAGAACCCCTGGCACTAAATAACTGCATAAGTTGGGGTATGTAGGCTGGAAAATAAAAAAGTTGTACCGTCTTGAAAAAAGTGGCGTTTTTTGGCCCACCCTGTATTCTAGTATACATAGATACAATTGCTGAATAAATGCCAAATGACGATAAAAAGACATAAATATAACTTAACAATGTAAATTTTGAACGCAGAAGCTACTTAAGTCACTTATATTGAGATTGACATGGGCTCCGTGATATTTATACCTAAACTCAGTAGGACGTTTTTTGTGACAACTTCAAGAAATTAACATTTCCGTCGAGCAAAGATCAAAAAAGCAAACGGATATTACAAAGTTAATTTTCTCCTGTCTGGAAGTCTGATAAAACAGAAGATCTTCTTGCACATGCAGTTGCAAAATTCATAGCATTATACAGATGGTGATGGTCAAACTTTAAAAACTATTTTTTAATCTTTAATTTCTAACCTTCCTACCATCACATTCATGCCATCATCATAATTCCATCTTTCATATTCATTCACTTTTCTAATCACGTTTATCAACTTGTCTCCTACACTTATTTTCCAATCACGTTTAAGCCTTATATGGATTTTCTTTATTAGTGAATGTGTCTGTAATGCCTAATAAGGGCGATTTACATTATTACATTTTGTTAATTGTAATATTTTATTTATGCAATACATACTGGTAAATAGGTTCATCAACAATTATTACATATTTTATGCAGGAAAAGTATAATTCTATTAAAAATAATCGAAAAACATGCAGATTTTTTTCATTTCACTTCGTATTCGCTTTAATTTGAAGTATCAATCTTTTTACATTACAAATGAAATCATGGGTGTGTGAAGCATCAATATATATACGTTGCACCATGTTACAGACCAGCACTAGGCCAACAAAGTGTATAATTTTGAGAAATAAACTTACCGTTGGTCCGACATAGTCAACTTTAGACGTCGCGTATCGTCTCAACCTAACTACAATTCGAAATCGGTACAATCTCCGTAGCTTTGGGTTACTGATTGGAAAAGCTTAGTGTTCAAGTGGCAACTTGCCATGTGCACTCCATCATGGATTGATACGGTCAAATTATTATCGAATTTGGCACAAATATAAACAGCGTCGTGCAGCTTGCCTTTGTATCATTCCAACACCTGAACACTATACGATTTAAAAGTCCAACTTACCCTACTATCACACCAAACTAGTTCTCACTACGTTCTCGAAAACGGGCTTCAACTTTTTACGAACGGACTGGACGTACTTAGAACCGTTTGGGGTCTTTTTACAAACTTCATCGAACGTACTTGAACGGGTAAGTCCTCTAGAACTTAGAACATGCTCAAAATGCTCTCGTGGTCGTCACGTTATGAACGAGTTAGCAAAAATATAGCTATCACACCAAACAAGTTGCAACTGCGTTCTTCAAAACTGGTTTTAAACTTTGTGCGAACTTCATGAACGTAGCTGCAACTTTCTAAGGACTATTTACGAACTTCATGAACGTTCTCAGATGGGAAGGTGATTTTAGAATTTTGAAATGATTCAAAATTCGATGGCGACCATACCGTTCTGTAATCAGGTCATGATGACCTTCTGGACTAAGGGACGTGTTATACGACGTTGCACTCCGACAAGGTGCGACCTGAAAGAACTGCGAATGAGATGGACGTATTGAAGACTGTTTATGAACGAAGTAGCTAATTATTTTAGACATATTTCCCGACCACAGCCAGGTTGAACCCGTTTTACGATATTTTCGTAGGACTGGCAAGAACGGGTAAGAACTAGTTTGGTGTGATAGGGGGGTTAGGTAGCAACACAATGGAATGAACTGCAGTTTATTTTAAAGAATATACAGTTGTTACAAAGAAGAGTGGATTCTTTCTCTTCTTTCACTACTTTCACCCTAATCACTAATTCAATAGTTGAAGAGTAAACCAAAAAAAGTATTTTGGGTGTAACCCTACTGTCACATCAAACTAATTCTCGAAAATGGACTTAAACTGTGTCTGGACGTATTGGACGTACGTAGAAGCGCTTTTGATCTTTTTACAAAGTTCATGAACGTAGTCGAACTGGTAGCTCCTTCAGAACTTAGAGCATGCTCAAAGTTTTCTGTTTGACGTCACGCTCTGCAGTTAGAACGAATGACAACGTCATTTTTGGGTGAGCCCCAAAAACGGAGCACATTGTTTTAAAATCTGTATTGTACAGGGTGTTTCATATGTATGTATCCGCCTCTAAACTCATTCATGTAGCAACCCATCATGTGATATATCATTTTGTTCCTTATGAAAAGTTAAATAGGATTGGGAAGAGAGGGGTTTCCCTGAAAAAAGATACAATCCATCAAAATATGTGGGTAGGGGGTCATTTATAAGTAGTTTTGTAAGGAATTTTAAGCCAGTCCGGTGATCTGTTTACTTTGTCTGCTGCCCAATTTTAGTGATAAAGGTGGTACCATGGTCCCTGACCTCCCTATAAGCCACTGCATGAATCCCATCTATATATCTTTGTGCATAACTGCCACAGACATGTACTGAGCTCAGCCATGGTGACAATAGCTAGAAATGTGCAATGCGGAAACTAAGGTCCTTTAAATTGTCCTCAAAATTACCAGAACTTGCCGTCTAGATGACCGGTACCCACCATCTTTAGTACATTTTAGATGCATGAGCTTTAATGAGTTTCATTATTAAATGAAGGACAAGTACTTGCAAAGTATATGAGCATGTACAGCATATAATTCAGCAAATTCTGATTGAGAAGCTGGATTTTTATTGAGTTTATGGTTGTTTTTTTGTGATGTAGCTTTGTTATAATCACTTTAATATCTAAATTTAAAAGATGGATGTAGCATAATAAGCATAAAAATAATAGCATTCTGTGGAATAACTCTAACATTATATGGAATGGTCACCCTTTGGTTTTTTATTATTGGATAAAGAGAGGAATAATATTCATGAATGATACTGTCAAAAATGGTAGACTTTGTACTTATGAGGAATTGATATGTAAAATTGGAAAGACCGGTCAAACTATACTTCAATATGCCGAAAGCTTGCATAAAACAGGATTTGTATGAATTAAACAACACTGATGAAACATTGTATTTTAACAATATTAATATTAAGAATGTATCATCACAAAACATCAGAGAGTCACTTGTTCAAAAAAGAATATGTAAAATTAAATATAATGGCATAGACATATCTGAAAGAATATGGGAATCCCTTTTTCATTGTACAAAAGAAGCGTCATTGTTAGTTATACAATGGAAGATTTTGCACAACATATACCCTAATGGTACTTATCTCAAAAAATGTAAAATAGAAAATAGTGATTTATGCAAACAATGCAATGCAAGAGATGCACCCTTGGTATACGCAGCTAACGAAAATTGATCGGTACGGGTCAAAAGCTGGACCGGTACGGGTTAACGGTTTTATTTGAATTTAAAACAGCCATAACTTGCTAAATATTGACTTCCTCGTGTCTAATTTGAAATATATGATTCCTCCCGATGCTTTTAAGTACCCTAATTTTTTACAGATTTTTAAACGGACCAAAACTCTCTAAATGCGCATTTATGCTCTTTTCTCTCGAGAACGACTGTCTCATTTTCACGATAACTTTTATTTAGTACTTCTAACATATAAGATCTATTTTTCCCCATCAAGGTATGATGTAAATTACATGCTATTTACATCTTGTGAGTTTCAGAGACGCGCGTTTGATTTTATAAAAAATGCCAAACTTTGTGACAAAGAATTTCATTCTGCTTGCAGCGAGAAGACGGACCGGTTCGGGGCAAAATATTGATCAGGCCCGATCAAGTGTCGAAAAACGAATCTAAAACATCGCAATTTAAATCAAAACTTCCTCGTGGGGAAAATATGGCGCCAACTCACTTCTCGCGAGATAAACCCTTACATAAAATTACCCCACAAAAAATTACCCTTACAAAATAGTTGCTCTAAATACAAAAGCTATACCTCAAGTAACTAAATAACATGTATTACCCTGACCCTGCAGCTGTATTATTCGCGCTCCAAGCGGAAGGGAAGTAGCGAGACTGGGAATAAGGTTGGCATTTGCAAGGGTAGCCGACCCAGGGTCGCTACAGTATTTTATGGCAAGCCAGTTAAACGATAATAAAAAGTTAGGTCTGACTGAAATGAAGCCAGATTTATTTTACGAAACGCTCATTATCAAGAAAATTATTCATGATTTTAAATATAAGAACTGTGAAGAAAATGTATTGTCTTTATACGAGAGCGAAAAAGTTCTGAGTTTGTAAATATTTTGTAATGTATATGTAAATATGTTATATACTAAGTAACTGACCTCATGTAGTGTTACAAAGGGTGGGTCAAATGCATTTTCTTGCATAACTTACACTTTTGCTTACATTTCTTACAATCAGACAACATTTTGACTATGCCAAGACGTCACTTGAATGCAACTGAGGTTGCTAGAGCACTAGGGATGCTTGAAGCTGGCTTTAGCCAGCGATGGGTAGCTGAAGTGATGGGTGTATCCCATAGTGTCATAAGTCGAGCAAGCCAACGGCACTGGGAGACAGGGTAATACACAGAGAGGCCCCGCAGTGGCCGACCATCTGCAACAACCCCAAGAGATGACCACTATTTGATGAATCTCAGCCTCCGCAACCGCTTTAGTAGTACTAGTGCCCCCGACTCAATAATGCCTTTGCTGATGCTACTGGAGTCGTTGTTTCCACTCAAACCATCCGTAACAGACTTCATAGAGCAAATATGCATGCCCGAAGGCCTGTAACGCGTGTCCCACTGACCCCTGTCCACAGAAGAATCCGTCTCAACTGGGCCCGTGAGCATGTCAGATGGACCCAACAGCAGGGAAGTGTTATGTTCACTGATGAGAGCAGGCTCACTCTTGATCACAATGATGGACGTGTTAGAGTCTACAGAAGACAAGGAGAGAGCTATACTGATGCTTGTGTCACAGAACATGACCGCTATGGGGGAGACAGTATCATGGTGTGGGGAGACATTTCCTTTGATAACTGTACTCGGCTGTATGTGGTTCCCGGGGGAGCAATGACACGATACAGGGATGAGGTCATTGATCCCATTGTGTTACCCTTTGCAGAATATGCTGGGGAAAACTTTGTTTTTATGGATGACAATGCCCGCCCCCATCGAGCTAGGTTGGTGACCGAGTACCTAGAGGACCATGGGATCAACTACATGGACTGGCCTGCAAGATCTCCAGACTTAAATCCGATTGAGCATGCCTGAGACATGTTGGGGAGGAGTATTGAAGAGCTTGAAGTTCAACCAGGTGAGATACAGCAACTGGCAATGGCTCTAGAGACTGCATGGGACGCTATGGACGTTTAAGAGATGTCAATGACCTCATAAACTCGATAAGACGGCGATGTCAAGCTGTTATTGCAGCTAGAGGTAGCCACATTTGACATTGAGACTGATTTAAAGACATTCAAACCAAAATCTTGAAAAAATGTGTTTTGACTTTTGATCCTGTATGTCCATCTTGAGATCTCTGTTTCATTTCTGTTTTCCAATAACAACACATTATTATGCATTGAAAAAAGTAATGTGAAAATAAAAAAAGTGGTCCATAACATTTTGAGGAGTATATGTTACTTAATAATGAGATATAATAGTATAATCATTGGTATTACAAACTAGTACCCTGTATGATATTTGATAAATATAAAAGTTATTTTTTGGAGCATTCTCTATAGCCATTTTGTAGGGAAAATGATGAAAAAATGTATGTAATCTCTTAATTTGAAGTATGACTTGAATCGATTGCAAACTTCATATTTGCACATTTGATGAGATAAACCATTTGTGTCATATTTTGAAATTATTAAGTTTGCAATCGATTCAGGTCAAAGTGTATTTTTGGTATTTTTGTGATAATCAATAGAAACCAGTGGCCTCTATTGGGATATGCTGATATCCTCATGTTAAGTCAATGATGCACAGCCCCATGTAAGCCAATACAACCTTACTGAACTAAATGACCCCTATCTCAGCCTAAGCTTATTTGTGCCCGAGCACTTTAAATTATATGATATTCTATTCTTCATGTTACACCTACGAATGATTCATTTTGACCATGGGGGTATATGCCAATTATCGCACCTTTTCCTTTGCACTAAGTCTTAGTGTCTACGAGGGTTGTCCAAGAAGTAATGCACTATATGCTCTATCAATTTATCAATTATTAATATTTTGCCATGAAATTTTCAGTAGATGTTCCTTAGAAACATTTTGATTATTCAAAATATTGACCTTTGCATGTTTTGCACTTTTGATGCTTGTCAGGTCGAACACTTTTGGCAATTTCTTCCACCATGACTTGTGGACTTTTTACATCCCATGTTTGGAGTTGTCATCAAGGGACCAGTCATCAGTTTTAAGAAATACATTTTAAGATACTATATTACTATGAGCACATCCTAGATTTAATGGATGTATATTGCACAGTGTCCCATGTCACATTTTATCGAAATATTGCCCTTTGCATGCTATGTACTTTTGATGCCTGTCAGGTCAAACACTCTTGGTAATTTCTTCCACTGTGACTTGTGGCGTTTTTGCCTCCCATGTTTGGAGTTGTCATCCAGGGTCAAATCATCTCTTTTAAATCTCTTCTGCCACCTCATAATTGTAGTTCTATCTGGTGTTTACTCCTTTCATACTTTCTTCATGGTTGCATAAGTTTGTGTGGCTGTGAGTCCATTTCTTGACTGACTAAATTTGAATTTGTGACTGTTGAACTAAGGCATTATGACATCACAGTGCAAAATGTCATTATTTGTACTTGGGGAACATCATACTGAATAAATTTAACAATTTCCCTGTGTTGCTATAGCAACCATTGTAAGACTTAATATTAATGTATGATACTGAAACTTCAGTAGTAATATTCGCAAAATTTCAGCTGAATTGAAGATTATTAGAGAAAGTTAGAGCATATAGTGCATTACTTCTGGGACAACCCTCGAATACCACAGATGGGACGTTTACATAATCTACTAATCATATCATTTACCCAATAAGTCGAGGAATATCTTTGAATACTTCATTTGTTCAAATTATTGCATTATTATACTCCGACCAATTTTACAAACATATAAGAGGTCATTAATGGTCAAATCTGAGATATATGGACGTCGAGCTAGCAGATGATGGTTTCACTTGTTTTAAGCAAACGAAAATGAAAATATGCACCAGTTTACTTAATTTTATTAAAACATTCACAAAGGTCCAAACTTGATACTTATTAATGTTTATGCGATTAGTCAATATACACTCATTTGTATAGAATGATCCCAGGGAATGATATGAGTGTTCCACTTCCATCATGTCTTTTGTAACCAAATTTTCCTATTTTGAGTCATAGTAAATGATTAAGAAAATAGCAAATATTTACCATTAAGAGGCCAATGAAGGTCAACCGAAATCTAAGGTCATATGAAGTCCTGAGAACTTGTGGATGATTGTTCTAAAATTAGGGGTTGAGGCAAGTTGAAAAATTACAGATCTTTTACCTTTTTGAACTGAAATATATCAATAACAGTAATACATATAGACACATTGTTAACTGTACTTAGACAGGAGAGACATCAGTTCAAGAACAGGTCTTAGACAGAAAGACATCTCAAGATCGCTATTCTGATTTGATGTATCGTTTCGTGTTGCAATTATATCTGAATCAAAATGGATTCTCCGCTTCTTCCTGCCATTGTTCCCGTTCATGATATCCTTGGTACAGATTAAAGGCGAAAATCCCTCATGGTTGTTTTCCCTATAAATAAATTATTCTGCAATTACAATTAACATAGCTTTAATTAAGAATCTAAAATTGCCCCCTGGTTCCCTGGTAGTCAACATTGAACCCCCATGCATTGTGTGAAAATGATTTAACCAATGACGCAGATTAGAGGCCGATATACATTGTATATCATAGAATCAGAGCTCGATCTTGGTAGGTCTTCAAGACCCACACCTCACTCACCTGCAGTATTCAATCCGGCATTCGTGGCTTTCCCAATCTGTACAAGTCAACGGTGTAATTGTACAGTGCCCATATGGCCAACAGTCCCAGAACTGGGCTGGCCATGGCTGCCCGAGATCTCCGCACCAGTTAAGTGGATCTTTCGTTAAACAAGCGTCACCAACGGCTTCTGTAACTCCAGTGTGTGCGATCAGCACTAACCACGAGCAAATAATAGTCAAGGCACTCAACATTCTTGACCTACCAACTCTACCTGCGATTCACAATCATTTCAAACATTCAAAATAAATGAATCTGACCTCTCCCCTCTCAATTGTTTTTTCCATAGAAATAATTTCAATTTTCCTTATACCTACTCAATCGGGCAGATAAATAAAACAGAGAGGAAAACTAGTCCCCAGAGGATATTGATAATATATTCTTATATTACTTTTAGTATGCTCGCAATTCTCAATTTTCAAATAATGATCATTTTAATTTTGAAGCTGATTTTAATTTTTGATAAGGGGGCTTTAATTCTCGAGGGGTCATCACAATAATACACGTCCACTTACACTGTATTATTGTATGTATTCTTTGTACAAATGATTAATTTAATAAAAAAAAATAAAAAAAATACACGTCTCTGTAAAAACGTGTAGCATAACTAAGTAGATGAACTATACGTACCTCTAGTAGGGAGTGCTGAGGGAGTGGAAGCTTAAAGACGTAATCTGATTCCTCACTTATGAAACTAAAATATTCCGTCACCTTGATCCAAGTTTTTAATATCCGATTGAACATTTACTGTTACATTTAGCTGATTTCCTATCTAAAAAGCATACATAACCAATGATAACGTTCTTTGAAATGTAAAATACATTGATAATATTGTTTCAACAAAAATATCAGCCGTTATCGTGCATTAAGAGGCTTTGAGTTAGGAAATGTTAACAATGTATTGATAATAAATGAAATACAACAACAATGGATAGCTTCATCGACAAGGAAATGATGACAGGCTATCTTCTATAGCTTATATTAAATCATTCATATCAGACTGTGCTTCTTTTTCATCTCAATTAATTACCAATTACACCAAGGGCCTGTTTCTCGACTCACAAATACCTTTGAAAATCCAGTTTCTTTTCAAATACCTCTGAAGTCCCATTTTCCACACTCATTTTTCATGGCTAGGATCTGACATGATAATCCCACAGATCAGAGCATTTCATTTGTTAGAAAAGGAGATGTCACGATTATCAGAATGAAAACACCAGTCGACTCGCCTGATTTTACAATTAATGTTATCCAAGTATGGTATTTTCGCTATTAAATGTTTCACTATATCATATTTCAATTTGAAATAACAAACATATTGGTTTAAATCTTTATTCTTGTATTTTCGTATTATTATGGGATTTTAAGTTTTAAATTGGATGAAAACCTCATCGGTTTTTAATCTAAATTGCCATAGCCTCTACTGTGTATATGTATCATCCATGTACCGGAAATGATATAAAATAACTTTGAAATTAAAAATATTGAATTAAAATAATGTAATTATAATTGCTCTTATCTATGTTTCTATGTCCCCACATGGACAAAATGTATTAAATGATATCAAAAAGAATTTGAAAAATGCTAGCTTAGTATTATCCATGTTCATGTGAATCAATCATTGTTCAACAAGTTCCTATCTCAATAGTTTTCAGCCCAAAATCGTCACTAAACTGGGTCCAAGGTCCTTGCATCAATTAATATTTGCTCGATGAGCTCACTTCCTCTCATACTTTTGTACTCTGCTGGTTTCCTGCCATCCTAAAAATGGAAATGGTTCACTAAATTATTTATCATCAAGACATTATTCAGCGATTGATTCGAAATTATGTCATACAGTCATTTTAATTCATACAGATTATTTTTCAACCATATTAAAATTTAGATTTGGAATTCTTCATTTCATTTCCATGTACTTTTATATGAATTTCGATTTACATATGCCATTAGATGCGTCGAGTCATTTTCAATCAATAATGGCATTTTCATTTACTCTAACGTACACTGATATTCTGTGATACCTTCTAAATATTTACCTTGTCTAGACTTTCTTCATATTCCCTAGGATTTCTCTCCATTATGAGAGCGAGGAATGGTTCAGCTTGATCATCTGGTAAGGAATAGGCATAGTGAAGTGGGTACCTATTGCACTGGAATATGTTAGGGAATTATGATACATTTTGTTAACTAATAGTTGGATTTTGGCATTGGTATAGATAAGATTTACCATACAAATGCATGTAAGTCATTGTCGAATATATGTATCGCAAGATCAATTCTCAATCATATGGCAATACGTAATGAAGATAAACTAGACCAGTCCTTTTAAAACCCATGTGTGTACATTAAATAGTACAACGTTTGATATGTCTAGACTCTGGTATATCATAAGATCTTATTGTGCATTTTGTATCAACTTACATTATCAGGTATTCCTCTCAGTACAGGTCTGGTGATCACAAGTTGCTCTGCTGCTTTAAACTGGTTGTGAACTATAGCCTTTATCAATGCACTGTACCCATGCTAAAATAAGATCCGTACATATGATGCGAACAAACTAATGGTCTATCATTAAAGACACAAAACATTCACATGCCAAAATGTCATCTCCTGATTTCAATTACATTCAATCGCCGATGCCGACCATAGATCATAGAAAATGGTGTTTTATCAGGTTAAACCTATCAATTGGTACTGAGTGTGTCTTTAAAACTACATACCCTATCTTGAAAATTGAGTATGTTATGTTGTTGTATGTCATCCTGGTTTCCTTCGGACGCTGCTTCAAGAAGTTTTACACCTCGTTGCTGCAGTGTCTCTACATTGTTCAGTGTATCTAATAACTCATTGTCTCTCTTCTCTAGCGCTAACTGGTTTGGAGTCTTCCCACTTCCCATCTGTGAAATCTGAAGATTTTCTGACCCATAGAACTTAGCGATGAGATGCTGGACAAACATGTGCTTCAGATTCTTCATAATGTATTCATCTATAGCTTGCATAACATCAATACGCTTCATCTTTATGGCTAGCTCCCGTGCATTTACACCATCCTAAAGTGAAAATACAAATTATTATCACATCCGATGAACTATCATGCTATGGAATAAAGTCAAACCAACCAAATCTCAGATCTTATGTTGAAAATATAAGAAATATCAAAATCAGGCAAGTTACATGTAAATATTGTAACATTACACCATATCTTTTTACATATGATATTTTATAAATTATTTATGCTTTGAAATATTGTATTCCTACCTTGTTTCTCTCAACTACACAATGACCTGCCCTCATGGTAAGTAACCACTTAATGAAGTCGACCGGCATGTTCTCTTCAATAGCCCTTAGGAACAGAGTATTCCCAAGCCTGTCTTTTTCTTTTTCACCCATTGTTCTTCTGTGCCACATATATTTTGCCATTTCTACTGGAGAATCTTCTGTGAAGGCTTTGAACATCAGGGGAATAGTGCAATCACCCTATAGACATTACTTGTTTGATTTAATTAATTATTTTTATTAGTTAATTGTTTTATTGTTGGTAGGTTGCAATACAAGGTTAATGACGTTCCAGCTTTTAAAGGTCAATGGTATTAGTCTGGCATTATCATTTACATCATTGGAATCTCAAAAGAAAGAATTTTACTGTTTACTAAGTACACTGATAATATTTGTGATCAGGTAATTCACTGTATTACTTGATTGGTGAAATATACTTTCTCCAGTGATAAGGCTTTTTAGAATTTATCAATGAATCAAAAACACCTAACTCAGTTTTAATCCTGTTTTAATTTACACACCTGTGCATTTTCCTGTACCCGTATGTTGACGCTAGCCTTCCCTCTCTCAATAAGTGTTTTCACAATGTCGAAGTTGTGTATGTCTATAGCACATGATAAAGCTGTCTTCCCCGTTTTACTCTGAAATAATCAACTTGAATAATTTCCAAGCATATACAAACGTGGTATACAATGTTTTAGTGTATGTTGATCAATGTAGTTATATCAAAAAATTTCGAACTCAACTACTCAAATATTAATCCATTCTTTTGGAAAACATACTAACTTTGATTTTTGAGATGTAAAATGTATTTCTCTTTCATAATCTAACATTACAATGCTATTTCTCTTACATTATCTTTTACATATCCTAACATTGCAATGCTATTTCTCTTACATTATCTTTTACAGATCCTAACATTACAATGCTATTTCTCTTACATTATCTTTTACATATCCTAACATTACAATGCTATTTCTCTTACATTATCTTTTACAGATCCTAACATTACAATGCTATTTCTCTTACATCATCTTTTACATATCCTAACATTGCAATGCTATTTCTCTTACATTATCTTTTACAGATCCTAACATTACAATGCTATTTCTCTGACATTATCTTTTACATATCCTAACATTACAATGCTATTTCTCTTGCATTATCTAACATTCAGTGAATTATTTTGTTTACATATTACACTTTTCCACATATTTTAACGTGTTGAATAAAATATACGACTATGTTAAACAATAGGCAATTTATTAAGGATCATTACTTTTGCTATAATAAAGAAACGTGTACCTTATTATGCCGCATGTTAATGTTGATATTTTTCTTGTCTGCCAAAATTTGCTCCACAGCTTCAATATCCTCAGCCAATACAGCATGGATCAATTCCTGCAATGCAGCAATATACACGTTAGCTCATGGAGGACGTCATTAGTATTTTAGATTAAGATTAAAGGCACACTATACTTAATTTACAAGAAAAAAATCAGAAACAAAAAATCACTGAAACATGTTAGGTTTCTCACACACTTGCTCAAAAATGACAAAAAAATTATTTAAAAGATGGCGGCACTTCTATATAAATGAATGTGTAAGAGCTCTGTGAATGTGTCATGTAATACAAACAACTTTGCCATCTTTCAATGACATTGATAAAAACTTGATATATAAGGCTTGACAGATCGAAAATATTTTTTTTGATAATTTATTGTAAGCTTGATGTGGTCCGTTTGAGCTGTTGTTGGTGTCAAATTAAAGATACGGTTCTTATCCATACATTGGACATTCAAATGTAAGTCTTAATTTTGCCCAAAAACGTTGAAAATACGCAAAGTGGGACTGAATAAACACTGTTTTATCTCACAAATGTGATACAACTGATGAACATTTTCAATCACCACCAAATGTAATACAATTACATAACTTTAAGTACAGACTTAAAGTAAAATAATACAATTCAAACTTCTTACCAATGTGTTGTTTTGTTCCTTAAGAAATCTATAGCACTTTTCTATTTTTTGATTTGACTTTCCTAAACTTTTTCCTAATTTCATTGCAGTTTCTCCATTCTGAAAATGACAGATCGTTTCAAAATTAGATGTTATACCTAAGTAAATACCATATGCTCAAATACACAAACAATAATCTAGGTTAAACGTCCAACGGTAAGCGAAAATGATACATTTAGTAAAGACCTTATTGCCCTTATTCTATTCAAAGATTACCTTAATAATTGTATTTGGACTGCACCACATTTTCACAAGTTTCTGCACTGAGTTAAAGCTGCCTTTAGTAATGGTTGACAGCATGCCATCTCTATAAGATGACATGTATGTCTTCATCGTTCCTTCCACCATTGAGATTACAGTCTGGCCGTTCTAAATTGATACAAAATATGCATCTACTGTTTGATTTAATTAGTACTATTAGACCTAATTAAGATTTGTTTGGGGATTGGAAATCAAACCCAGCAACACACGTATCTCCTCGAAGCCATTTTACTTCCTTCATAATAGTATGTATTGTAATGTATGAGTATTGATCTTGACCGGTAGAGAAAAAGTCCATAAATACCATATATCAATGCATCTTTTTGTCATGAGTACATTTAGCGTTATTAAATCATCAATCAAGTAAACCCTAGTTTTTGCAAATTACCTTATTTCTGGCCAGGGGATCAGCGCCACATTGCAACAGTGCCTCTATGATGTCCCTCTGCCCTCTCTTGATTGCCACATGCAGGGCAGTGTCACCATTCTAAACAACAGAACAAATACTAACTTCAATCTATTATATAAAGCCTCCGGAACCTCTATCTAGACGCTAATCGCCCCTATCGACGTCCAGGTGAGGTGGGGTGTGCAGGGGTGGGCCCCGAGGGCTTGAAACAAGACAGACCTGATCATTAAGAGAAATATGAATAGGATTAGTTAGTTTTTCCCAAAACAGTAATAAGTTACACAACTGGACCGAAATCCTAAAAGGGTCAATTACAATTGGAAGACCCATTGTAACGTCGCAGTAAATAATACATAATAAAAACGTACCTTATTTTTATGGTTTACATGAGTACCAGCCCTGGTATACACATATATGGGAGAGGGATGGTTGTCTAAGGCTGCCTTATGGAGAAATGAATCTCCATCCTGGAATCATTTGAATTGTTATATAATATTCTGATATATAGTGATGTATATAGAACTAATACGCACTATGGTTATTATAAATTGTTAATGGCAAGTTAATCATTATGACCATACTGGTCAAGTCGACCGCCGAGATATTGAAGTGAAGTTTCTTTACAAATAGTTAAATCTTTATCTGATTCGTTTTACATGTTCTTTGTTACTTAATGTATGCATTGAGATAATAGAAATATATTTGGAACTTGCGTTACAAAAATGTTCATAAAAGGAGTAGACAATATTTGTTGATATTTTGACATCTTCAAATGAGTCTATAGTAACAGTTTATGTCTTACTGAGTCGGTGAATTGAGAAGAATGTTCTTGGATATTTTTTCGAGCCATGTCAGCAGGAGACATTGTATGACCAAGTCTCATAGACAACATCTGAAAAGTAAATCATGCACAAAATCACAAGGATAATATACGAATAACAGATAAACTTAAAATTTATTTACACGTTTTCAAAAGTGGCACAAATGACAATTTCAATGCGCCGATAATAACTACAGGTCATATTAAATATCTTTAAAAGCATTTTAGATGAACCAGTTATCCAATGCGACACCTTGATCAGTTGTAATATTACTACAAAAATAGAATTGAAACCCCATGAAGAAATTATTATTTTGATTATACGCTAGAATTCAAGAATCGGAATAAAACTTATTTTGAGTTATATTCCTGTAAACATATTAACACATTTGAAGATGTCCTAATAAGACCATTTACCTTTTTGCTTATTGTTAGTATAATAAAAGTTTTTCAATGAAAGTGGTATTAAAGTTAATGTAAATGTATGAACTAGCCCAAAATAAATAGGAACCAGCCTACCATAACAATATTTTCAAAGGGTTGTAAAAAACAAAGACGGACTTGAGGTCACAACTGTCTCGTAAGCACACGGTTGGGAGTAGACGTTTGGAGTAGACGTGGAGGTTAGGAAAGCTTGCAATGGATTTCTTGGCCGTATGGACTCTGGAGCCCCCAAAGGTGAAGGTATGAAAAGCATATTTTGTATTCTTATCTGTATTTCGATTAAGATTATTTATTTAACTAATTGAAGATTAAAATTTAAACGTTCAACCCCTTCCATTTCACTTTGCTGTAATCGGAGATTGGATACACTAAATGGAAAGAACTAAAATCGTTTATGATTATGCATTTTGTATATTCAAATAAATAACCACAATAAATTGATTGGACATTGCGAAAAATAAGATCTCAGAGTTCCAAACTTTGTAGTCTATTCGTTTGTTTTGTACTTCGCACATCTGAATACTTTCGAGGATGAAACCAGGTCATGTCTATCATTATTTCCAATACTTCTATGTAAATAAAATACAGAGCAAATCTGCAACATACTGTATGGTACCGTTTTGGAAAAAGTACTGTATGGTACCGTGAAATATGGTACCGTACGGTACCATAGACTAAATAGTACCGTACGGTACCGTGATTTTAGAGTGCGGATTGGGGGTGTATGGTATGTTATTTTGAGAGGTTATTTCATTCATAACTTCCATAACTTCAGATTGATGACATCCCAAACTTTTGGAAGCGTAAGATAGGAACAGCATTCCGTGCCTACGACAGGAACAACGATGGAACACTCTGCTACGAAGACTTGATGGGTATTGGTGACTATTTTGTAAAGACAGGTACTGTCCTTTTATTGCTTGGAATGTCATATAATATTCTTTGATTTTACATTTTTCTGACAGTTTAACATATTTTCTCATTTTATATGATTGGTGTAACTACTACCAATAACTGGAAAATTCTAGGTGCAATAGTTATTCTATTTTAAGGCAAAATGAATAGGAAACACGCAGATCTAGTGTACACGTCCCTGAAAAAGACAGCTGAAGGGACGGCCGATCCTCCATGTGACATGGTTACCTTCATCAGAAACATCTACGCAAACCTTATTAAGAAAGACAAGGAGCAAATAGCTAAGCTGAATCTCTTTGAAGTGTGGAACATCTGGTTCAGTGCTCTGGATGCTGATGACGACAACTACTTGACCCTTGACGAGTACAAAATATTATGGGATGGATTTGGTCTAGATCCTCGATTCGCGGATATCCAGTTTTCGTGGATGGATACGGACGGGGATGGAAAAGTGAGCCGAGAGGAATTCCAAGATGCCTATCGTGATTATGTCACAAATTTGGACACAGATGAAAATAATATAAACCGTTTCTTTGGGCCCTTGATTGAATTGTAATTTACGTGTCATATTCAAAGAACTGTTGAATAACAATTTGACAATGCTGCTATAATAAACATTAATAAACTTCACAAACTTCGTGTTAATCGGTAAAAAATGAGTAAGTACAATTGGACCTACATTTCCAAGTCCCTCAAGACGATCTTCCGTGATATTCTTTGTGGGGTGAACAGTGGCACCTCCTCTAGGTGAAGCTATTCCCTCACCTGGTTTGCGATGACCATTCTCAATGTCATCAATGAGTGATTTCACCTGTTGTACACACAAGCGAAACATAATTAGAATTGTAAAAAGGTGTCTGGGTACCACCATATATGTTGTATCAAAATTCAACTTCAATATAACAAATATTGGATTGAACAGAAAGAGTGACTGGCGTTGAGGAAAACGTGCAAAATATTTCCTCCGGTGTAATATTATTGACAGGATATTTTCAGTTGGATTTTTTGCACATATTCCCGAAAATATAATTAAAAAAAACCTCCAAAGATTTGACAACTGGAAGTTCCCATTGGACCACTTGTTAAAGCAGGTTTAAACATAAACATGTTTTAACATGGGGGACTTCCGGGTACCAAACTTATGGAGGGAGATGCTATAATATATAATACACATAAAGATGTCCTAGTATGAGACATTAAATCTAATATATATAATCTATACTTGCTATATACATTTAAATTGTAGCGTCATTTACAATATACGAATATATGCTTGTTCCAAGAACAAAATATCATATATAATATTATTAAGGAATTAAAAAGTGACATTATTTACATCTTTCACGAGCAATGTGTGAATGTGCATAGATAAATGATGAAAACTGGCTGTTTATCTAAGTATAAAAGAGAAAATAATACAAATGCGTTGGCCTAATGTTATCTACAGTGCATTTTGTTCATGTTTCTATCTCCTTGAGACACCTCTGTCATTCTATAAACAACACATAAATAAACAAAACCCAATGCAACTGATTGCTTCAAATAATGAATGACAAATGTACCTTTTTAAGATTGTATTTCTCCGCCATATCAGAAGAATCATATTGCGACTCTGGGCACTTTAATGTGCCTTGGTGATCCAGGTAACACCATTGGTTGCACAACTTATCCGGGTACTAGAAAACAGAAATAAACTGAATGTCATGTGTTTTTAAAGAAGGACAATTTTCTCAAATAGTATATAATTGTCATAACTGACTACACTAATATCAGATTCATCAAAATTAATGTACACGAAGTTGCAGTTAGGGATTCCAAGATAATCAAGATTTGAGGTTTCGGATATGTTTGATGTGTATCGAATACTTTATCGAAATTCCGACTAACCGTATAAGGCCTGTTGTATGGGAAACCATTTTCAAGAAGAAATAGTGCAATTGGTTCACATCTGTTCTCTATGGCACACATCAATGGGTCGGTAGATTCATCCTGAATACAAAGAAAATAAAAAATATGATTTATATATGATTTTGCAACCCACTTGGGTAGCAACACAAAAGAAAGAACTAGCTTATTTTAAAGAATGGACAGTTGTAACAAAGAAGAGTGCTTTCTTTTTCAATTGTTTTTTAAAGAAGTGACACTTGGCAAGCAAAAGCCAGTGTGGCACAAAAGACGGCTGGCTGCCACATGCAGTCCACTATAACTGAATTAATTACACCCTATTCACTCATTCCATAGTTTTGACAATTATACATTTTAGCAGCCCCGCGCCCACTGCCATTATTGGCCACACCGCTCCGAGCCATACAACAAACACGTTGTTAATAATGTTTAGATTCTTTCACTCATGGTGAGGATTCTCTTAAACCAGAGACAAACTGTTTTGTATGTCTCTGTTAAACTTAAAAAGTGTAGCTAGAGAACTTTTTCAAACGAATACATATATTTAAAGTGCAGTAGCCTATTTGCTATGGTTCATAAACTTTTTGGTGCTAGTAATTCTCTGTGTTACAAATGTTTGACCTTGTGATAAAAAATACGTCGAATCGAATTCATTTCACAGTTTCCGTTAAATCAAAATGTAGATGCAATAAAATGTCAATTGCTTTAGTGGTTGTTTAATATTTGGTAATACATATTGCAAAGTTGCATCGTTTCTGGCAACATGAAAAAAACAACAGTACAGCGAAGCAATTCAACGGGGAACAAATTCGCTAACATATTTGCTGATGTACAGTCGCATCTAAACATATGGCAATATCTATTCATAAATTTATTGTTGAACCAAAATAAACAGGATTTAACTGATAGGTGGATTGTATAATATGTGATACTAAACTAACTACTGTAGTAAAAGCAAGATACTTTAAATAAAATTTAACAGAGCATACATAGACCGATCTCAGTCATAACATGTAGATATATACCTCCAATATATTCCCTATATACAACTGTTCAGCCTATAAGGTATCACTGTATATAACTTTTCATTTCTTGTCGTGCCTAATTGGCAACACTCCTGGTATCTATAGGGCCAAATGACATTAATTAATAAGCAAGGTGCATCTTTGCTAGAGGGCTCGTACATGATATAAAAACTTTATGTGGTTTATGGTGTCATCATCAACTCTCTGTAGCTTTGCAATACAACAGGTAAGTTTTTATACAGATATATACAAAACGTTCTCATTTATAAATTAAAATTTTTTGAAAGCAAACATTTGTGAAAAACATCCCTTGGTGCTGATTTAAATGAATTAATGTTCAGGACACAAAGGATTAGACTAAAAATAGTTTTGAAAGTCTTAGCTTTGTGACATATTTTAAACTCATATATCGTACTGTATGTCATATCCAGTCTCAAATGGGCTGGGGAAATCTTAAGTTTTAATTTGTATATGATAGTTTTATGTTATTCTTTAACACCTTTTCGATTTAGCATGCAGTGAACCAGCTACATACTGTCAAATAAGTTACTCCTCAACGGCAATTTTTGCCGTTGCTCTAGACCAGGTACATGGCACATAACACGTCTTAAAATCAGATCATTTTTCAAACGATATCATTTTTATCGTCAAGTTGAAATTTGATATCTACGATGCGATAAAATGATATCACGAGAAATGATCTGATATTGGGTTTATCATTTATTATTGTATTTTCCTTTTGGCACTTGCGTAAACAATCATATTTATAATATTTTCTAGATCTCAATTCAGTATGATGAAGTTAGTGTGCCTAGTAGTCCTTGTGACAGTCACCCTTGCCCATCCAAGCCGTCGCTATGGTTACGCAACCCGTTACTACAGCAATGTAGGATACACTGGATACGGTATGACAAACTACGTGGGCATTGATATTTTCTGTTAATTTTAGACAAATTGGCTTATATTAATAAAATACTGTCTGGCTATATCTGGCCACAGAATGAAATGAAAGATTTTTCGTAACAAAAAGTTCACAACCCAACGTTATTTTTATTAATATAAATGAGGGATAAGCGCAAAGGAAAACATCTGAGGAAACAAAAACTTTAAATAATTATAGATGCAGCAAAGCATGAGGCAGGCGAGGCCTGAACTGCCTCGATGAAACGCCGTCGTAGTTATAAAGAAAAATATTAATTCAGACGTGTTTCTCTTTAAAACTTAAATATGAGGTCCCATGACTGTGATTTTAACAATTTAGTCAAAGTTGCCTCGCCAATTCAAATTAACATCGCCTTTGAGATCCTGGTTATTGGCTTCATCATACATATGTTTAACAAACTGACAAACTTACAGCACTGCATGTTTGCAATGTTTTGATTTTGATCTACATTCTCATAAAATAAATGTCTCGCGAGATATGGTCCATGCGAAGCAAGAGGTCAAATGTCTGATATCTGGATATCATAATCTTTAAATAAAATGACATCGAAATTCTAGCAATTTCCTGACTTATCAATGTCTCTTTTTAAACAGGTAACGCCTACCAGAACAGAGAATATGTGCCATACGGAAATGGCTACCCATACGCCAATGTTGGACCCAACAAAGCTGTCGTCAAATCCCCATCCGGACTGGTAAGATTGTAACATGATTTTGACAATTTTAACAAGTTTAAAACCTCAAATTTAGAAATATGACTTGTAAAACAATACCAAAATATTGGCAACACGTAAGGAGCTATCCGTGAATCCATCAAGAGTACATGTAATTGGTATTTACAACGTATTTGCGAATTTCTAACCAAACAAATTAATTAATTGTATAATTGTATTTTATCGCATCGCATCGTATCGTATCGTATCACACGTATATGTATTGCCTCACTCATATGAGAGAGAATACATCTACAATATATTATAATTAACATAAAATATACATAATAGTGTATCACTAAAACATGACCTACTACATTGTACTTCTAGCTCATTGGAGACAATGGTGGCTATGTCAGCGCCCAATACGAGAAGGTCGTAGGACCCAACGATGCTGCTATCAGAGGAGATACTGATGGAGACAGAGATCTTGTACGTAAATAGGCATTTAAGCCAATAGCATGTATACATCAATACCACTATCGTCAACTTATTAGTGTATTAGTTAAAAGGATCCACAAGTGTGGTTTTAACCACAATTTGATGAACCCATGTAAATGAAATAACTGCATAAGCTTATACAACCATACGTATCTGTTTACATAGGTTGTTGGAGACAACGGCGGTTACATCAGCGAGGCATATGATAAAGTAGTAGGACCCAACGATGCCGTTGTCCGTCCAGAGATCGTAAGTATCAATATTAATACTGTTCGGAATACTTCATTTAAAAGTAGATTTCCATTAAGAAACTGAACGGAAAACACAAATGAACACCATGCAAAAACATAATGGTCAATAAAATGTTCAAATCGTAGTGTAGGCAGTATTTCGGTTGCTAAACCTTTTAGAGGAGCGTTAACGCGTGCACCCATTCAACCAAAATACGAAGTCTATTTGGAAATGGTATTTAGGCATACTTTTGCACTAAACCTCCAGGTTCTTGAATTGTTCGAGAAATATATGAAAACAACTTTCAATCTTCAACTCTTTTACAGATCCGTGGAGACAACGGAGCTTACATTGATGTGGTAAACGGACGTGTTGTCGGAAACAATGGCCGAGTTGCTGGATACGCTTATGGATATTAAATGTGCAATAATCTATTGTTTGAAATATATAATTGATTACCTAAAACTACTTAATAGTTGTGTTCATGAAATGAGAATAATTTCTATAAGCCAATGATTACGTAATGTCTAAACAAAATATTCAATTCAAACTTATCACAATCCAACTACTTAGTAATAATATTTCTGTTCTTAAAATGACGATTCACCTGAGAGAGAATCTGTTGAATGGCAGTTGAGTCTTGGACAACCTGTAATGTTTCCTGCACTCCACTCAGATCATTTTTCCCTATGCATTCCATCAACTGAAACAATGAAAGATCAATGTTAATCTAGACCTTTGACAACATGCAATTTGTTAGCTCTCCATCCGGGTCACTCTTCCCCATACACATGCATTCCCTCAACTAAAACAATAAAACAGCTATGTTAATCTACAGGTCGTTGACAGCATGTAGCCATGTAATGTTTCCTGCATTACACTCAGGTCAACCTCCTCTATAAAATCCTTCAACTAAAGCAATAAAGCATCTTCATTACATAGTATTGGGATAATGTTTACGTTATTCAATTATAGGCATCATTACACATATCAAAGCATTCGTATCATTATAAAAACATCATCATCATCATTTTGCTGTTTTGCGTGTATCATTTATTATTAAGAAAAATGATATATATTTTATCGAACAGGAAATCCTCGGATGTATAAATATAAACAGATAAATGACGACATGAAGACATATTGTAGATAAGTGAACATTTAATAGTATTTACCATAGGCTTTTTGACAACATAATATAATGACATAGGGATCATCATATACACCTTGACATTTGTATAACGGGTACTATTCTCTTGTTGATATTCCGGGTGTCCCAAAAAGTTATACCAAAATGAAATGGGAATAACTCCTTTTCTTTCGTCAAATCTTTTCACATGATAAATAGAATTCATTTTCAAATTATCAGATAGAATTCATAGAGATCTGTAAATTACTTACTGATCAGAAATGTTAGATGACAAGCTCTGAATGACCTCAGTCTCAATCGATGAAGAGCTGAATGATATTTTAAACATGGGAAATGGGTGATGGTGATGAAACAAGCTTTTATCCTTATAATAAGTGCAAAGAGGTACCTTACCTATTGAAACTTTCAAATGTTTAGCATGAACAAATGGGTGGTGGTACTTTTCTCTAAAATTAAATAGAGTAACTTGATGAAAGTTTCAGATATTTATGATAATCAAATTGTATCTCAGACGATCAAATTTCAAGAAAATTCGTTCATCACCTACAGAATTATTCCATGTTTGTCTCGGAATGACTTTGGGACACCCCCAAGTTCAACTCTCTATAATATGTACAATCATGGGTCGCGTCTATTGGCAAATCAAAGGTAGAGTGTATAGGGAATCTTATTATTATTTGGTGCCTTGTGTTTCATACATTTTCACATTATGTAAATAATTAAATACAAAGCCATCTTATTACGATAGATTCAAGGATATACTTATGAAATAACATAACTAGGCCTATACAACCTATTAAACAATTCATTTGTAAGCTGCAAATAGTTGATTACTGAGTTATTTTATTGCATGTGTAACACCAAGACACAATTAAATTGACATAATAGTAATACGATTGATGTGACTCAATGTCAATTTTATATTTGTGTAAAATGAATATTCAAACAAATAATATATTATTCAACATCTACAGGGAGAAATTATCGTATGATACTGCAGATAAACTCTGTATATTTCGACAATGGTGATTAAAGGTGTCCTTGAGTGTATAGTCATTCTGATTATTTGTTCCATCATTCGAGCAGAGTATGCAGGTAATACTTACTTTAATATGAAGATTTAAACTAAGGCAGACTTACACATACGATTTTTACGAAAGGATTTTATAGTTAGATTACAGGTAGTAAATATAGAGTTGTCTAATTTCTGTATATATTTTGTCAAATGACGATTATAGGGTACCGTTATAAGAATATATTCCAAAGTTATAAGATTTATGACAAATAACATTAATAAGTATCCAGGATATGTTTGTTTTCATTGCACAGATGTAGGAATCTCAAAGACATTTACTTAAATACTGATCTGTCAGGGTTCAAATTCCAGTATCGTAGACTTACAGAATCTTTAAAATACAAATTACTTTGACATCATTGATCTATTTCGCATATTTTCACATATTTCGAATGGTCAATGCCTCGTGTGTCAGGCAAGCATAGTTTTCTTACTAGTCACATGTGTGACAGTGGGTGGAGAAACAAACTATACCATACATATACAAGGACTCGGAACATTCTTGATTTATAGTGGGGAAACTTGAAAACGATTAAGTACAGTCTAATATTGCAGAACACTCCAAATACGATGGAATCACATAGCTAAACGAGTTTAAGCCCTAACACAGCAATATATCAGAATACAAGATCCATTTCAGATTATGATGTCCGACTCAGTGGCGACGATGGCAACTATGGAAGAGTAGAGATATACCTGAATGGAACATGGGGAAGGGTGTGCAATGATGAATGGGATATTGAAGATGCAAGAGTTGTATGTAAACAACTAGGATTTGATCAGAAACACTCATATGTTCCTTATAATAGAGGTGATTATGGAGTTTTCACGATATTCCATTTAAAAATAAGAACAAATACAAGTTGGTCAGATTAGGTTTGATTTTAATTAAGACTACCACAAAGACTCCGATTTTAAGATTCTAGTATTTAGAAACCAGATATGGTGATCGTTTATAGTATTGATAGTTAAATTCAGGAACTCCGGGAAGAAATCACGCACAGTATGGAAAGGGACGTGGTGCGTATGTTATGAGCAAAGTAGAGTGTACTGGATCAGAAATTCATCTCTCTGAGTGTAAGCATCAGATACAGGGGGAGAAAACAAGTAAAAGGTGTAAATTAAAGGTAAAGAGTTTCTGTACAACCTGTTCATATCCAGAAATTGAATCACAGAAAATGCCAAACCCACATTGCAACATCTGCCCTTGGAATACAGACAATGTTTATAATAAACGTTCACAAAGTCACGATAAACAAAAAGATTTATTTAAATATCAGCAGAAGAGCGAACGGGGAAAAACTAAAAATGGAAAAATAAAAATCTAAAGTATAATCAGTCATAAGAAAACAAACCCAGAACATATAAACTAACTAATAACCCAACTAATAATCTAATTATCCATTAAAAATTAATCTATTAAAATTTCACAGGCGCCGCATGATGCCATTGTCACATGCAAGACCATTGTCAGACTCGCAGGAAAGAAACGTACGAAAACATCAGGGAGACTAGAAATCTATAAGAACTCTAAATGGAGACCTGTATGTTACTCTTCAGTCATTGGTCCAAAGATTGCGGAAAAGCTATGCGCCACATTAGGAATCGTTGGTGTGAATCCTATTACTTTTCGAGGTGAACATTTCGGACGAGCAAGAAAGGTAAAACCGTGGTGGTTGTCGCTGCCCTGTGAGTATGGGAAATGTGGCATTGAAAGAGAGGTTCAGAGTTGTGACATCAACAAATATGCAAACATTGAGTGCTCAAATCATGATAGGTGGCCTAAAGGTAAGCATCCGCATTTTTCTTTTTGTTTAGTGTTATAAAATAAAAGGTAAACATTGCTCACTAAGACTCTAAGACCGGGAAAGCACATGTGTGAATGTGGTTATATATTCAATACAGAGACTACAAGAATAAAGCTTGGGAATAAGAACTATGGAGAAGTGAATGTACAAGTTGGAGATGATTGGCTACCAGTTTGTAACAGACACTGGAATGAGGGTGCATCAAGAGTAGTTTGTAAACAACAAAGATATGACCCTGACTCAGGGCGTAATTCTGGCACTTCCTTAACTGGAGTTGATAATGGCAATGTGATAGTTACTGATATGACATGCACTGGGGATGAAGAAAATCTAAGTGGATGTTCATTCTCAAAATGGAAAATCACACATCTTAGTAAAGTAGCTGATGAATGCAATGCATCATCAGATGGCGTACAAGTGTCGTGTTTAGGTGATACAATAAAGGCACGTTTGGTTGGTGGCCCAGACGAAAAATCAGGCCGTGTTGAAATATGGTATAAAAATGAATGGAGAAAAGCCTGTGATTCGAAAACATCTCTCAGATATTATTATTGGGTCAGTAGTGTGTGCAAGGACGTGAATGGAACATTGCAATACGGAAGACACCATCGAAACAGAGGACAATTTGGAAGAAGTACATCTCAAACAGGTGTTAGACTACGTTGTATTGGGGCAAAAGATCTCCAGTCGTGCAGAATAGAAGAAATGACATGCGCAGAGGATACACATTTTGATTTAGCCGTGTCGTGTTTTGATCATGAACCAGGTACAAGTAAATGTTTTGAAATAAGTACATATAAACCATTTCCGTCAGATTCGTTGTTTATACAGCAAACAGCGCATCATATGGTTCCACTAGAAACATCTCAAGGCTGGGAAGAAATGAGATGTCATAGTTTATCATAATGTTTACCCATTGCATAAATAGTAAATACCCTCCCTAATATGATATAAACCTGATTCAACCAGGTTTACACGAATATGTCATGCCCGCCCTATTTGGTTATGAACCTCGTGATAAGAATGATTTTGAGGGTGGCATTGTGAGACTGAATAAAGAGTACTGGAATGATGGAGAAACCTATACAATTTGCGGTGATAACTGGAGCATAAATGAAGCCAAAGTAGTCTGCCGGCAGATGGGTATGTTGTGACATATAATTCGGAAAATGAACTGAACAAGTCGGCAAGCAACGCCAAACAACCATGCCAGTTTAAATCGAAATTTTTAACAAAAGCTTTAACATGTGAAGTACTTAGGATCGTCGAAAACATTTTGACTCGTATGTTTTTTAGGATATGACACGACTGATGCTGCAGCCGATCAGTTCTCATTCCTGGACTGCTATGACGGTGATAAGGTGGTAATGAGCGATGTCAGTTGTACAGGGGAGGAAGCCAGTCTGTCGGAATGTAGCTTCAGCCAAGGGGAGAATATCACGTGCTCAGGTACTATGACAACTCTTTAATCCTTAATAACACAACATTAAAATCCCATGTTTGAATAGCCACAGGTATTAAAGCTGAGGTGATTTTCTCATAATAAACTATTAATTTTCATTGCGTAGACAGTTTCGATATTGTGATATGTATGAACGTTTCAGATGGTTCAAGGGCTAGTGTGTATTGTGAAAAGATACCTTTAAAGCTAACAATAAATGGTCAAGATTCTAACATGGCTGGCGAAGTAACACTTATCAGTAGTTTGGCTACTGCGTTCACTCCACATCCGATATGTTCAACTGGATGGGATGATAGAGAAGCTAAAGTTGTATGTCGCCAACTCGGTTACCCTTACGCAAATGCATCTGTTTACATGGCAGAGTATAATGCAAGTAACTATGATGGAAACGGACCTTTTTTAACGAAGTTAGGATGCAACGGAAGTGAAACCCACCTTGGACAGTGCCAATTCGAGGAGAGCTTTTCCGTTCATTCTCACGGGCATCTATATGACTTTTTAGATTACTGTACCGAATATGAATTCTTTGTGAATATGGTAGATCACATGATAGAATACAAGGATTGTGAAGGAGGACAAATTGCTGGGGTGATTTGCCAATGACTAAACACAGTTTCGAATACAATGGACAAATAAATATAGTTAAACGTGTACATTGGAACACCTCTCAATTTGAACGCATTTTCGGTCACTCATTTTAAACTGACATATTTTTTCATGTTTCAAAAGCCTTGAAATCTGATCCCTTACATATACGTATCTCGTAGTATTTCTTTACATTTGAATTTATGAAGTTATAGCAATAAATAAAATAAATTGAAAATTAGTTTAGTTCTGTAGCCTGTTTGGTCTATTAATAATTGCAAATTGATACTTGGGCATATAACAGGTATTTGGGTATTTGGGAGATAATACAAGTTACAAGTAATACAAGTTATGGGAATGATACATAGCACATGGAACAATATTAATATCTACACTATATGTTAAATTGTAATGATATTGAAGTTAAGAGTGTCAACATGATCCATGCCCAGTTCATGCCATTAATGTGGTTTACGATTTTAAATTCCAAAAAGATGAACTGATAACCTGAATAAACATCTTACTTTCTGTGTGACTTTGAAGACATCATCTTTGTGCATTCCAAGTTGAGGTTTCAAATGTGCAGTGCTTAAACTGGATGTCTGGATCCGTTTCTTGGACTGAATGTTTGTATTTGTAATGGCTTCATTCACAGGTGCATGATTTCCACTTGATATTGCATCCATCAGTTCTTTTACCTATGGAGGAATACATTCAGTATCATCTTACCCAAAAATATTCCTTTATATGAATATCTTTCCTTCATATGTTACATATATCATCCCATATTCTAGGATAAATTAACCCATCTGCGGTTATACTAAGGAATGGACCAACATAAAATATGTCCATATGCATCCTCGTTTATTTTATGTGGACAAAACGAAACGTTAATTCCTTAAATACTTAATGAAGGTTTTAGATTTTAAGACAAGGAAAAATAAATGGCAAAAGATTCTGAATTAACACGGTATTATTTAGAAATGATCTTTACATTTTTACATCTTTACAAAACCAGACTTAAATTCAGCTATTGAAATAATTCTAAAATATCTATAATATCGTCTCTGTAATATCTTTACCTTTTCAAGGTTATATTGCCCTGCTAAGCTTTCTGCACTGTATTGTGAGGGACACTGACCATCCCCATGGTCATAATAGCACTGATGATTACAGCTTTGTTCAGGGTACTAGAAAGGAAACAAAATATGAAAACAATTGTTGATTATTACATTTTAAATCTTTTTGTAATAAGCTTTTATTCCCATCCACTGATATATGAACTAAAGACAACTGACACTTCTTTGGTAATGGTCTTTATTTTTGTTCACTTAACAATAATTTATTCATCAACTGCTTTTGAAAGCAATTGATTCCAGAGTATACTTTCAGTATACGCGGGAACAATATTACCGTAAATAGGAAAAACATGTGATTAACAACAAAGTAGGATAACGATATGTTTTAATAAAAAATGATATGAATGGGTTTGTTGTAACATTTTTCAAGTGATTCCTCAAAACAGTTAAGCTACCCCAATAATAATAAACAACAAGGCATTAACATGCAAAATGTAACCACCTGCCATTTGTTACAGTCAGAGAATGTCAAACACCAACCACCAAATGCCATCCACAAAAAAGTTGAAAACTATAACAATATGTCACCACTTAATACGGTTAATAAAATAAATTCTTGCAATCAATTTCAAGTGATTCCTAGTGAAATATTTCAGTTACGCCCACAGTAATAAATAGAATCAATAAAAACTTACTGTATACAATATTTTGAAGTTGAATCCTTTCTCTATAAGATGTATGGCTATTGCCTCATTCTGCTGTTCTATGGCTTGAATCAGGGGATCAGAACCTTCCATCTGAAATGACAATCACAATTTTAAATAAAAACATTCTGTCATGTTTTTTAATCAATTGAACAAAGAAATTGGGGTTTCGGGGGGTTGCTTCACTCTTTCTGGTTATGCGATTATAGATGTTCACTTTTCAGTTGCATTTCTCTTTGTGCATTGCATTTACACAATACATATGCATTCACCAACACATTACACTTTGCACATACACACTGAAAAACATTTCCGAATTTTTATAAAATCACACAGATACTGCCTGGCTTCCAAGATGCAAAAATAATTTGTATAGATAGTGTACCTTGAACACCATTTTTTATGAATGCTGGGGACTCAGTATTAAAAGGATAATTTCAAAATATATAGGTCTGGGAAAGGTTTAAGGCACACTGCGTCGCTATAGAATGAATTGCGCTACTATTTTCACAATTGTATTGGTATTTGGTGTCAAATACACATATCTTGGTATATTTGAAGTCCCAAAACGGCTTAGTTTCAGAAATATCCCAAATTTAAATTCAAAAATGACCGTTAGCTCCGCACCCTCCGCTCATTTGCTCCGCACCCAATATTTCCCACAGGCTCTGTCTGCATAGGGTGTACATGGGAGAAATTGGTTTATTATTTTCAAATATTACTTTAAAATGGCAATGGGACGAGTTAAGTAGTAAAATACAACTTAAAGCATGTAACCTGTTCACAGATTGCATTGATGTGTTTCTGATCTTTCACTGGCCTTAGGATCTTCACAACCTCTTTAATGTCATTCTTTCCAATTGCTTCTTGAAGCTGGAATATAAAATTAGAGAATCATCAATGGTTATGTAATTGCCATTTGAATGTTGAGTTTGCATCTTGTTCTTCATGAATGAGATGTACTTTTAACTAATGACAAATTACATGTATATCTACCCAAATGAGTAAAAATACTTCAAGTTGATATTCATAAGTGAATATAAAGCATATTCATACAATATCATTATATCCCATTTATCAAATGAAATGTTTGAAAAATCAATAAAAACAAACATGTGTTCAGATACTAGATTAGTAAGTAATCCATCTTACAAGCTGATATAATAAGTAATATTATATTTATATTTTATACTATATTTGTTATTGTTCTCTAATACTATTGTATTAAAACATTTTCAATATCATAACAAAACTAACCAGAAGTGCTAATGCTTTGATTTCTCCTTGCTTTAGATTGCCATCATTCCCCTTATCTTGGCCTATATGGTCCTCGTGTTCTATTGGAGATGGCATGGCGGGTTACGAGTAATCTCGGATGAGTTTAGTATATATCCTATCTTGAATATTGAGGCTTATCTACCATCCTTTCTTTGTATTAATGCATATTTGTATTAGCATCCGTGATTCCTTCCAATGAGATTCTGGAATCCAGGCATCATCAAATATCTTTAATGCAACACAGTAACAAGTCGTAATCAATGTAAAATAAAATTTACAATTTATGTTATTATTGTATATCCTTAAAATGTCAAAACAACTGCTCAAGTGCTACTCACAAAACAAAATACACGGATCAATTGGATAACATCAATAGAATTAGATATAATTACATGGCCTAGCTGAAGCTTTCAATCTTGAAATTACAGTTGACCTTTCTTATTACCTACATACAAAAGAACACTGATCAGAAACAATAACATTGGTACTACCTTAACTGTCTTACCTTGTGGCTGATTCTGACATCAGATCAACATTGATAGAACATATTAAACTAGTCTAACTGCCATTGCAATATCTTTTAATGAAAGGTGGCTGGTATCCAATATCGCACAATGTTTGATTGATACAGTCAATAAAAGGAGTCTTAATATTCAAATAACACCAGTTCAATATATTTACCCAACCTTTGCTTATGTTTCTATGTAGAGCTTTTCAGGTTTTTATGATTAATTATTTACTCTCGTCATTTAGTACTAGAAAATGTTTGCTATCGCTATGCAGAATGTAAACACTTGTATAGCGATGCATTGATTTTTACCTGGGGATGAGGGTATTCCCTATAATCAGTTCTTTGGGATTTATACACTCCAATACAAGGCAATAACATGACAAAATGTCACCACCTAGTTGCTCACAATGTTATTAGTTCAAACTTAAGTCAGATTGGAATTTCTGAGAACTCTGTAGATGATTTAAAAAAAAGAAATTGGTCAATTTGAAGCAAGTTTCTTCGACCCTGAGAAGGTGAAATCTCAAATCTAAAGTCAGATTTTAACTTCTGAAAATTTGTAGGGATTTTGATAAAAATAGGTCAATTTGAAGCAAATTAAAAAAAACTTTTTAACCTTGAGGTCAAATCATTTTTGACCTTAAAAATGTCATTGAAGGTCAAATCTCTGGTCAAATTTGAACCTTTCAGAACTTGGAGATGATTTTGAAAAAAAATTGGTCAATTTTAAGCAAGTTGAAAAAAGACCTTTTTGACCTTGAGAAGGTCAAATCATTTTTGACCTTGAGAATGTCATTGATGGTCAAATCTATAGTCAGATTTGAACTTTTGAGAACTTGTAGATGATTTTGAAAAAATTGGTTAATTTGAAGAAAGTAGAAAAAATACCAAAATTTGAATCATCTGAAAACTTGTAGATTATATGGAAAGTCTAAACAGTATTTGTTAAGTTTTTGAAGTTTTAAGAATTTGTTACAGACGCCAACCACCTCCACAAAAAAACGGAGCCATCACTTCTTGGCGGTGACATAAAAACTAATATGACATTCAATATAATTTCTTATGATATTTAAATCATTGAACTCACTTTATGTTATATTAGATAAATTATTCAAATATTGATTTTGTCAAATACAGATTTGGACAATATTCCAAAATTGCAATGAATTTAAATTAAAATGATGATGGGATCTGGAGAGTGAAGTAATCTTATTATAATTTACTCCATAAAACATTTTCGTTTCATAGAATATAGCATGCATCATTCCATATATTATGGATAGGTTTTTGTGTAAAGGTAATTATCCAGATGAGAGAAGGTATTTACCAGTTTCACCCCCAGGTCGCTAATTCGGGTTAACTCATGGCAGGTATATAAAAAAGTTCCCTTGAAAATATGTCCAGTAAAAGAGAATATTATCTGCCCAACACAAGAAAAGATATTTCAATTTTTGTGATTTTGTAACATGGGGTCTATGGGGAATCTCCCTGACCTAGAAGTCACATTTTCAAAGAAGCTTAAATTTTCAAAGTTGGTACATACTTTTTTAACGACATTTCTAGATGCAATTTTACATGTAGATTTCAAATATGATATCCCTTTAACTAAATTTTGAATATTTAATGAAGTTAATCAAGATTATTTCTACTTGCATATAGTATAGGTTATTAAAAAATGTTTTGAATAGCTACTGATATCCATTATTGTGCATTTTATAGTATAGTGCTTTGGAGATTCAATAGAATGAAAATATTTCTGGGACAGGCAATATTTCCTGATACATCTCACTATATTAAAACAAGCCACAGGGTGAACAGAATCGCACCCTTGAACAGAATACACTTTTCGGGATGGAAAATTCAAAATGGCCACCTTAACATTTACCCAAACTGCCTAAAAACTAATCAGTTCTAAACTTTCCATAGAAACATCTCTAAAATTTAAGGATGAATCCATGAAACCTGTAAACAACCCTCAAGAGACACGTTTTAAGGTATTACTTCACAGTGTATCAGCTTTTTTTCTATAATTCAGATTTTCCTGAAAAAAATCCTGGTAAAAGATATACTGATGTATTACAAAATATGTGAAAATTGGAAAGATTGACCGTTTAGTTATTTGTAAAAAAATGTTTTAATTTAACATTGCTCTCAATGGGAAATTCTTTTTTATTTTTTAAAACAAGCCTTCACAGACACGATTTTAGGACGAAAAATCCAAAATGGCCGCCTTAACATTTACTAAGACTGCCGAAAAACTAATCAGTTCTAAAATTTTATAGGTAGAAATATCCCTGAGAATTTCAAATGAATCCCTTAAATGGTTTGGCTGGAACTTGTAGACAAGCCTTGACAGACAAGATTTTAGGACAGAAAATCCAAAATGGCCGTCTTAACATTTATCCAGAATGTCGAAAAACTAATCACTTCTAAACTTTCATAGGTAGAAACATCCCAAAGAATTTCAAATGAATCCCTCAAACGGTTTGGCTGGAAACCTGTAGACAAGCCTTGACAAACAAGATTTTAGGAAGGAAAATCCAAAATGGCCGCCTTAAAATTTACCCAGAATGCCGAAAAACTAACCAGTTCTTAACTTTCATAGGTAGAAACATCCCTGAGAATTTCAAATGAATCCCTCAAACGGTTTGGCTGGAAACCTGTAGACAAGCCTTGACAGACAAGATTTTAGGACGGAAAATCCAAAATGGCCGACTTAACATTTACCCAGAATGCCGAAAACCTAATCAGTTCTTAACTTTCATAGGTAGAAATATCCCGGAGAATTTCAAATGAATCCCTCAAACGGTTTGGCTGGAAACCTTTAGACAAGCCTTGACAGACAAGATTTTAGGACGGAAAATCCAAAATGGCCACCTTAACATTTACCCAGAATGCCGAAAAACTAATCAGTTCTAAACTTTCATGGGTAGAAACATCCCTGAGAATTTCAAATAAATCCCTCAAACGGTTTGGCTGAAAACCTGTAGACAAGCCTTGACAGACAAGATTTTAGGACGGAAAATCCAAAATGGCCACCTTAACATTTACCCAGAATGCCGAAAAACTAATCACTTCTAAATGTTCATAGGTAGAAACATCCCTGAGAATTTCAAAAGAATCCCTCAAATGGTTTGGCTGGAAACCTGTAGACAAGATTATTCGGGACGCCTGCCCGCCCACCCAACCGCCTGGCAAACTGATTACAATATAGCATTTTTGGGTGCGATAAAAATCTTAAATGAATCCTCCTCAGTAAAGATATTTATGTTTCCTTCAAAAGCCTCGCTCAAAAAGTATTGTCGTGATAAGGAAACAAATGTCATGCTGTACATCAATCCTTTGAATATGTTTTTGTTAAGGGTTTAAGTAAGGAATATCATGTTAAAAAATTTTAAAATAAAAAAGCTTTCTTGTTTTTGTTTCTCCACCTAGGAACTGGATAACATATATGATTTGAAAATTACATACTAATAACAAACACTGATATTTTGCTACAAAATATATTTCATAATGAGCACCTCAATAAATAGTTCAAACAGAATAAATGAATGACAGTTTTGTGAAGTCATGAATCAATGTACAGTAAATGTTTTTGAAAAAAGAAGAATTCAGTTTTTTAATAATAACTTTAACCTCAAACCATTTTCTTTTATGTATATCATCTGTATTTTAACATATATCACTTGAACATAAGCATTCAAGATGAGAGAATCTAAATTTTCTCACATACATTAAAATCCATAAGCAGTTGTTGTGATAAATGGTAGAACACTCAACAAAGATCCGTCGGTTATCGAATATCTATACTACATCTTAGCTAATTTATACAGAGATCGGGATCATTTGTCAGCGAACACCATGATTAACAAATATATTACACATACATAAATAAAGCATTATTTAATATAAGCTTTACATTAGTCCAGCATATGGTAGAGGAGTTGTCTTTCAAACCAGCAACTGCTGCTTTAGGCTACTGGCCTAATTTCCTTTCTTAAATAAATATTATGACATTTATTTTTTACCAGAAACATTGATTTTGTCAAAAGCCATAGCAGAAGGAATCAAAGACATACGAGTAATGTCATTTGTAGCCTAATACAATCAAGTTAAGTGAATAATAACTGATAACATATAACTTTAGATTAACCTACATTTGCAACAGACCAAAAAAACATGTACATATAATTCAATTATACAATGGTCCCAAACATTCATAAAAGCACAATAATTTCACTAGAACTTGTGAAAAAGTACACAATGCACATTTATGAATCCCTTGTATGTCACTTCATCTTATACATCTTCATGAAATTTTCCACTAAATAAACTGTCAAACCATCTCTTACATATCAGTACAGGCGAAGTACTTAATGAACGGTTGCAAATTCCCTCTTTTCATCTTGAAATAATCAGCAGCGAACGAAGTGAAGAAACAACACATTTTGTATATTAAAAGTACAACAAACAACAAAGGATGTTTCTGAGGGTACATTAAATTATCATAAAAAATGTCACAAATTTTGCTCATAGCATTTCTTGTTCCTAAAATGCTAGAAAGATTCTGCCTTTATTTCATCATAGTCTAAATGCTTCGATTTTTAAGCTTATTTGACAATGTTTTTGAAAAACAGACACTCTTTTAAATTCTAATGATTTGAAACACCCTCTGTTCTCTGATGTCAATTTAATATTCATTTAAATAAAATATCAACCTAAGCTCTCATGTTTTTTTCACAGAGAGAAGTATTAATTACAATTTTTAGAAATTCTAATCATCATCTCGAAAGATGTTTAACATTTAACATAAAGAAGAAAATCTGACAAGCACATAAAGTGTTTCCAAAGGAGACTGCACGGAATTGGTATATACACTTTATAACAAACGGCAAAAACTTTGCAACCAAATTATTTTCAGCATTGTATCTTCTCTTAATAAGGCCCCGTTATCTTAAATGAAAGTAAAGCCACATTTTCCATTGTCCCTCAAAATAAATACTCTGAAGTACTCTCAATTAAAAGCCCATGGAGAATTTATTTGAATCTGAAATATATGCTGTTGAATGAAAGATTATGTTACAAAAAGCTAATAAAAAGTCATACAAAAGTAGATCATTTTGAAATAGTTTAAAATAAATGATCCATGGGCCTTAGTCTAAGAAAATCGTGTACAAACCTACTACATAAGTTTCTAGAAAACTCTTTTGCATGTATTTACTTCGTACAATTTCAAAGTTCATAACATATGTTATATTTAACATTTCTAAACATTAAAACATTTACAGTTTTTTGCATTACATGAGGTAAATTACATTTTCAGTTATTGTGACAAGTCACAAACTTTGTTGTAGTTGTATTGCACATGTAGCTATAGAATATTTAATAAGAACACTTTCCATTTCAAATAGGCCGACATTAGACTGAGTCTCGTCAACCCCTAACAGTTTCCAATATCTTAAACTAGCATTAAAAGAGAATGGGATGCATGGGGCTGACTAGATAGAAATTGCAAGATACACTAACTAATACATATGTAAGAATCTGTAAATGACACAATATAGATTGTGTCTTACAATATTTTGTTCACAGCTAGTACATAGTTTAAATTCAGGACATTAACAGATAAACACTAGGGATAAAATTCATAATATTTCACTTGATGACATTACATAATATGATATTTCACTTGATTATATTACATTTTATGATATTTCACTTGATGATATTTTAATTCAATGTTCATTCTAAATGCACTGAATCAGAATGCTTGAAATGAGGTAGTTAACTAAAACACTTTTGATTGTAAGATCTAGCTGCTGCTTGGGGTAGCCCACCATATCAAATATGACGGTAATGACATGAGACTAAACAACTACTTCCTGTATACAATACATGGTACAAAGCATTAGGAGTTTGCATTCATTATATCAATTAATATCATAACTGTACTCATATTTTTTTATACTCCTTTACATTCTTTTACAAACTGAAACAATATTGGAAAATTAAAAAAGACTTTTGAATTGAAGCAATATTGTCATGTGATGAGAAAAAATATTGTGAGAAAAAATGGAAATAGCACAAAAAAGGTTAATAGTGGATGTCTTAAGCATGCTGTTAGTGCAAATTGTAAACCTCCTTATCTACACATATGGGCCTACTTGTTTTTGTAGTCGTCAAGGATAACATGCTGGTAGTATCCCATAATGCATCATTTTATAGGAAATATCCCATGATGCAACATTTTACAGATTTGTATCCCATGATGCATCATTTTACAGGAAATATCCCATTCTGCAATATTTTACAGATTTTTCCCATGATGCAACATTTAACAGGAAGTGTCCCATGAAGCATCATTTTACTCATAGTGTATGATGATGCTTCAATGCATCACATTTGTAAACCACTATGGTACTCATATGCTCATACATATACAGGTTCGCTGGAATCTGATTGGTTATCAGAGTTGTCCACATTATTTTTCTGTCGCCAAATTCCAACTGTACGGTCACTGAAATCAAAGGTAAGGAAGGTTAGTTAGGCACTCTACATGCAGGGTTAGATTGAACAGATTATAACGATCCTTCCAGTGTTAGATATAATGGAACAATGAAAATCGAATAAGATCATGTATCATATATTACCATAGCTCATGTTTCAGATAACAATACCTTAAATGCTACAAATGTTTAGATGTATCAAATAACAGTAAATGAAGACAAAAACTTGTGTATTGAAAAAAAGAAGTCTTTGACAAAGAAACTGAAGGAAATATTTTCAAATCAAAAAAAAATGAAGTCAATCATGCTAAATCGATACAAGTGTAAATTTCCATCAAAGAAAGACAAAATGTGCATGCAAGGTAAAGAAAATAGTTTAGGGATAACTACAATTAATGTTGTAAATCTTCATAATGAAGGAAATAAAACAATACAATACAATACAATACAAGTTAGTAAATCAAAAGTGTCAACCAAAAAATCAGTATGAAGGAACTGAGGTTGAATTCATTTTTATTTTCCAATAAATTGCAATGGAAAATGATCATAAAATGGTTGTTACAAAACTTATTGAAATCATTTATTAAGGTCTAAATTGTCATTAATAATTGATATGTAAGAAATCATGGTATATGAACTTAAAAAAATAAAATAAAAAATTATAATTCCAAAATATGATGACATTAAAAGCTTCTAAAGGCAACATTGAAAGCTGTGGATATTGCAAATGAGATGTGCACTTGAATGATTCAGAATATATGTGAAACAAAAATGTGAAATAAAATGTGAATATCAATACAGGGCATGCCAAACACATGCAGATAGTGTAGTGTAACAGTTGCATTGTTAGTGCAAACTTTGGATTTTGGTCCCTCAAGTATAATTCTTTGGACCCATCTTTTTGACTCATCCAAAATATGGAGGCTTATAAAAAGGCTATGAAGAAATACATGCACACTTTTCACATTATTCCAAAATAGACTTTGACTTGTTTCATTTCAAATCTGTCCTTGGTACATATTTGATATACATTGATATATATACATGTATCTTAATCAAGGTTTGCTCTATGCTATTGAGGTTTCTAGTTCTAAAAAAATTTAAATAAAAAAATACTTTTTTTCAACATTTGCTTTGGAGTTCAGATAGGCTCAATGTTTTCAAAGAACCCTAATGTCTCCTATTACTCAAGAATTAGAATTTTCTCTCTCTAATACAAGACTCTCTGTTAAGACAGTTTTAATGTTTTGAAGTAGAGATTTGTCCACTTTAAAACAAGACTTTCTCTCTGCTCTTTGAGCTTCTTGTTCTAATGTTGTAAGTGTTTGTATTCTCCTGGTCTTGATGGTTGTATGTGTTGTAATTGTTGTCAATGTTGTATGACCAGATCTTGATGCCACATTCACTATGTAAGCAAAGTGCAACATAAATACACAGCTAAAATACAACTGGAATGCACAGCTATAATACAGATGGCTCATTAAAATTCAGCTAAAACATAGCTTGTTCATTAAAACACAGCTGAAATACAACTGAAATGCACAGCTATAATACAGCTGATTCATTTATGCACAGCTGAAATACAGCTGGTTCATTAAAATTAAGCTTCAATATAGCTGGTTCATTCGTACACAGCTGTAAGACAACTGATTTATTAATACACAGCTGAAGTAGAGCTGGTTTATTAATATACAGCTGAAATACAGCTGTAACACTATCGAGTATTCAAATGGATGATATCAAGCTAATCTGCATCACAAAGAAGCGAAAATCAAATACATAATACAGAAAATGATTTGAAAATAAAAAGAGGAATATAAAATAATTTGATAGTAAGCAAATAATACTGCTATATATTTAAAAGGGAAACTTTTGTTGACATCAATCACATTTGAGTCATCCCAAATGTTTCACACTACATTCTACACATAATCAATATATTCAACTGCTATTTTAGACTGCATACCCATTCTTCTCAACATGACTAACATTTTTAACTGATTATTTTTGTGATATTATGTATAATGGCCTTGTACAACCCTCCTACTTAATGCCTTACGTTTAGAATCTAGTGTGAAACATGAATTGATGCCCCACAGGCCTCTGACTTACTTTGATGCAGTGAATATGCAGCTTGAGTTGGTTGTTATAGCATTTATTGGGCTGGAATGTGCTTTGATCTCCCCTAGCTGATTGCAGTTGTCCACGCTCCATAACTTCAGCATGCCTCCACGACAGCCACTTAGAACTGAGGTACCTCCTGGCATGAATGCCAGCCCACAGATCCAGTCTTTGTGGGCCCCATTGATGGACTGAAAATATTCAAGTTGTCATATAAGATGGTGTCAACAGTACCATTGATGGACTTGAAAATATACAAGTTGTCATATAAGATGGTGTCAACAGTACCATTGATGGACTTGAAAATATACAAGTTGTCATATAAGATGGTGTCAACAGTACCATTGATAGACTGAATAAAATACATAAGTTGTCAAATAAGATGGTGCCAACAGTACCATTGATGGATTAAAATACACGAGTTATCAAATAAGATGATACCAACAGTACCATTGATGGATTGAAATACATAAGTTGTCAAATAAGATGATACCAACAGTACCATTGATGGATTGAAATACATAAGTTGTCAAATAAGATGATACCAACAGTACCATTGATGGATTGAAATACATAAGTTGTCAAATAAGATGATACCAACAGTACCATTGATGGATTGAAATACATGAGTTATCAAATAAGATGATACCAACAGTACCATTGTTGGACTGAAATACATAAGTTGTCAAATAAGATGATACCAACAGTACCATTGATGGATTGAAATACACGAGTTATCAAATAAGATGATACCAACAGTACCATTGATGGATTGAAATACATAAGTTGTCAAATAAGATGAAACCAACAGTACCATTGATGGATTGAAATACATAAGTTGTCAAATAAGATGATACCAACAGTACCATTGATGGATTGAAATACATGAGTTATCAAATAAGATGATACCAACAGTACCATTGATGGACTGAAATACATAAGTTGTCAAATAAGATGATACCAACAGTACCATTGATGGATTGAAATACATGAGTTATCAAATAAGATGATACCAATAGTACCATTGATGGACTGAAATACATAAGTTGTCAAGTAAGGTAGTGCCAACAGTACCATTGATAGACTCAAATACACAAGTTGTCAAAAAGGATGCTGCAATCAGTACCATTGATGGACTGAAAATACATGAGTTGTCAAATAAGATAGTGCCAACAGTAGCCCTGAGGGACTGAAATACATGAGTTGTCAAATAAGATAGTGCCAACAGTACCATTGATAGCCTCAAATACTCAAGTTGTCAAATAAGATAGTGCCAACAGTACCCCTGAGGGACTGAAAATACAGTTATCATATGCAATGTTTTCTGCATTATCTTCATAAACTCCTTCAAGAATGGTGTTGCAAGATGATGAAGGAGATGTTGATCTTTTAAGACATTATATTTTCTATAATGTATCTCTCCCCAAGTCATTCGATACAAACCAAAAAATTCCAGAAATATCCCAATTTCCAGATTTAATTTAGACTGACAAATTCGATCACCTCACTTGGGAGATGAACAAGGGACTGTAAGAATAAATAATTATATCAGCAGAGAAGTAAAGAATTGTGCTCAAGTTTAGATGAGGACATCAGATTATAATTTCAATGAGATGTTTTATGAAATGCTGGATGGCATTTACAGTACAGATCTATGAAAAACAAGACAGACGGAATGCTCATCTAAAAATGTCACATGGCACCAGAGTTCTAGAATTAAAATATTTATAACATTAACTCTAAGAGGGACATCAAGGGATTTTTTCACTCTGACAAAAATAAATAAAAGGAAGACCAACAAAATGAAATCCAAGAAAGAATCAAAATGGGAAGCAAGTATAAAATATATTGCCACCATGGGGATTTGAACCACAGACCTTGAAAATTTTTATTGCATCAGGAAATATCCGTATAGGTAAGGAAACAATGTTATTTGATAGACTGGGATACCAACAATTATTTGAAAGTGATGCTCAACAAAATGCTGGATGGCATCAGGGGACTTAATAGATTCATGATCTGATTCTATGATCAGGTCAATGTAAATAAACTGCTTAGTTTAGGAGGGCGAAGTAACCCCTTAATTTGGCCAGCACAAGGTCACCACGGAAAAAACAGTGTTATATTATCAAAAATATATTATTTCAATTAACTTGAAAAATCAATTAGTGAAGTATTATAATCCATTTCTTAATGTTCAAGATTAGGTTAAAACAATTCAATGAGGAATAAATGCAAATATGAAAATCTGTTCCAGGCACTCCAGTGCCGCCATCTTTCAATAATGAAAGAACTTTTGTTAATACCATAATAAATAAACCTTGAAGTACTATTGTGTAAAATGCGAAAACAACTATCTTTCATTTCTCTCACCTTCTAAATTCTACAAGAACATTTCTTATATTTCTTATAACAAAAAAATAAACAAACTAAAAATGACAAGCAAAAAATAAAATTGTCCTTTTAAAAAAGTGCCACCATGGGGATTTGAACCACAGACCTTATGAAATTATATTGCATCAGAAAATATCCATAAAGATAACAATGTTAATTGACAGACAGGGACACCAAATAATTATTTGAGAGTGAAGCTTAGCAAAATGCTGGATGGCATCAGGGGACTAGGGTTTCATCATCTGATCCTAAGATCAGATCAATGAGGATAAACTTTAGCAGAGTTATATGTGGCGAAGTAACCCCTTAATTTGGCCAGCACAGATCTTTCTTGAAAATATGCCTTGTTATGTTATGGAAATATTTTCAGTTTCAAATTGACTTGAACATGGACAAGATTATTTAGAAGTGTATTATCCGCTATATAATGTATAATTTAAGTTGTTTAAATGATGGGATTATCATTACACACAGGATACATGCAAGTATGAAATTGTTCCAAGGCACTATGGTGCTGCCATCTTTCAATGATGAAAGAACCTGCTCACCATATACAATCAATAACTTTATGCCACATATATTGAATAGAATTGTTTTTCCATTTCCCTCACCTGCTTCAGGGACTGATCACTAAGGTCCCACTTCTTTATACATGTGTCCCTAGAGCCACTAAATAACAGGTCCCCTGATAGAGCAAGTGATTGGATACCATCATAGTGGGGTGGTTCCAGGTTGTATTTAGGCCCCAACACTCCGACTGAGTTCTCTTGCACATCAAACACCTAGAAAGTTAAAATATGACTCAGCAAAACTGCAGAAATATATTTTGAGGTGCTATGTCAACCTTTGTACTGAAAGAACACTATAAATTATGACTGAGTGTCTCACAAAGAAAACCTTGGAACATAGAGAATTTATAGTTGTAACCAAAAGTGGTTTGTTTGTAGTAGTATTAATTATCATTAATCCCAGAAGGCATCCAGTGTAACCAAAAGTGGCTAATGTTTGTAGTAGTTGTAAATCATAAATAATGTGTTCAAAGTACTATTCATGTTCAGGTTTTAATGAATTGTTACATCCCTGATTCAACAGAACAAGTAGTATATTATGTAATTGATTTAATGATATATATAGTGAAAACTATGCTCTGCCTCTTATGTGTTGATCATGAGAGCCAGACCACAGAACTGAAGTAATATATATATTGAGACACACTTTTTAGCCACTAAAGCAATGACGTCAGCAGACAGCATGTACATACATGGAACTACAAATGCAAGAAAGTGCTACAATAGTGACGTTTAGAGCCCGTTGCTATGGTAACTCTCTGACAGCATCAGTTTACCTTTATATAGTGAACTATAGAGCCTGTTACTATGTTTTCTCTATATAAATGAGTTTACCTTTATATAGTGATCTTTAGATCCAGTAACTATGGTAAGTGCATCATCGTTAGTCTCTTGCCCAACCTCGAGTACCATCACTGCAGCTTGGTGGCCACCTGTTAACTTGCCTACTGCCATGAACCTTCAATCAAAATATTTAAATGTTTAATATAATCATATGGCATCAATATGATCCAATGTATTATATATAAAAAACACCACAACTTATTATCACATGTTATATAATTTTAAGATAATTTCTTCTGAACCAACCCAAAATCTTTGACCGTATCATGCTTTGCTATAGTGACTCTATGACAGCATCAGTTTATCTTTATATAGTTTACCTTTATATCTATTTTCTTTTGACTCTTCATTGTAGTCTTAAAATAGATAGACCCTCATCAATTTGTCTTATAAGTGAGCTCTAATTTTACGCTATATTACATGTCTATGGTTGTCTCTAAATAAGGTGTTTCTTACTTTCTGAGGTCCCAAATGCGGACTGTGTTACTAGCAGCAGAGTACATGACAGATCCACCAGGGGCAAGAGAAATGTCATTAATCGTAGTCTCCCCAGGGGGTAGGGACACCAAACGTGATACTCCATCAGTAACATTCATCTGCCCACTTTGAGTTAATCCGGATGAACTAAAATACAAATATCAACGATATACATGAATTGTAAATGAAAATACATGCTGCATATAGGGGATATACTGTGAGGTTTTAGATATGGGATTTATCTAGAGAGAAGTTGCATAGACCTGTGTCATGTAATGTTTTTATATCCTTGCTGACACATTGTTCTAAAACAGAGACAAAATAATGCAAGAACCCTCAAGCCCAAAACTGGTCTAAAAACACAACAGGGGTTTAGACTTCAAGTTAATTCTTCCTTTTTAAGCAAAGTAAAAGGTGAATAGATCTATTTAGTGCATCTTAAGTATATTGTTAAAAAGTACAATACCTTAAAGTTTTTATGCATTTTGATGAGCCTGCTCTGATGTCCCACAGATATATATAGGATGTTGAGACTGTATAAAGTATGTTGTTTTCCTCACTAAAGCGAACAGCTATCACATTGTTAGGGTGGGGCCCATATGTGTCCAAATCTTGACCAGTATTTAAATCCCAAACTTTGGCATTGCGATCTGCAAAATTATAAGAGATATTTTAAATTCTGCTTTCTCTTGTCTATTCTCAGAAATTCTGACATAGTTTTTAAGAATATGAATGTTTGCGAAGTGATTCAGTTGTCATGGTATTACAACAATGAACAGAAAATGAATTGAAACTTGAAGAATTCCAAGTGAAATTGAATTAATCTTATTCAAGATAAGTTGGGAATAAACAATACTTTGTTCATCTTTATTGAAAGGATTTCTACTTGCCTTTACTACTGCTGAACATGTGTGTATCTGTAGCAAATACAGATAACACTGCTTTTGTATGGCCCTCTGCTACATGGGTGCATACCAGGGGGCTGGTCTTGAAATTGGCCTTATTATTATATGGTGCAATAACACCCCTAGGGAAACAGTCAAAATGAATATGCAGTGTAAATATCAGATTGTAGTTCATAGTTTTCTAACCACTTGCAACTTGAAATGGTACAAATTGTTCCATAGAATTAGAAATCACATTGTATTGTCTAAAAATGATGTTCATCAAATTCATTATGGTTCTATTCATTCTTTAAATATGTGTAAAAATACACCCAATATTATTTACATTATTGAAAGTATGATATATGAATTTCCACCATACCTGTTAACTTTAGGGGAACTTGGTCCAGAATGTGTAAGTCTGGAGAAAACATTGTCCTCTCGCTTTCGTGAGGTCATTGGGGACCCCATAGGAGACTCATCGGGAGTACTGTCTCTGTAAATACAAATAAATCATTGCTATCTTTGTAATCAATAATTAGGGACTAGTTTTTCATATGATTCTAATGTATGGAAGGATGAAAAGACAGATGAATGGATAGTTGATGTTTCATAGACTCGCCGTTTGAGCCAAAACAGGATTTCTTCCAAATCATCATGATGTCATAATGTGACAAAACAATGGTTAAAATATATTCAAACTTCCAATCATGCAAATATAAAAACTATAAACTATGAATAGATGAATTTTTAAAATTGGCAAATGTTGGTTTGTCATGAATTGTTACCATGGGGAATTTATTTCCCATAATAAATTCTGACTCAAAAGAGGGCACTGACACATATTGAAACAAATTAAGGTAGGCAAAGTTGAATGAACCCAAATGTCATGTAACATGAAAAGCTAAATTCGTTAAGTTGGGCATGATGAAATAAATCTTAATCATACAGAATTTTCATTGTACCTTACCACTTTAATAAATGTAGCATTTCATGTTACATGACACTGGGATTCATTCTACAGATATATTATTTCACTGAAGAATAATAATGACCTCTTGATGGAACAATCATGTAATGGGTGTTGTTTTTATATTTCAAACAAATACTGTATGTTCTTAAAGAGAACCATATTCCAATACTCTCTCATTGAATACATATCCTTATCCATAACAAGATCAAATCCCTGAGATCATATGTTCACTCCTGACCTGGGAAACAATACTCAGACATCCTTGACCATAAATGGGATCATCCAAAGTGTTATCCACATGGCACTTATAACAATACAAATACCTTTATCACACAACCAGTTACATAAGAATTTACAATAGAGACTTACAGATTGGTAATGGAATAAGTGTTATGATTTGAAGGAATTAAATTAAGGAATATGGGTCAAGAGACTTATTGAGGAATTTTGGAAAAACAAATTCTTACAAATAAGTTATTTCTAAGATTGGCATTGCTTTATATTTGTTTAAATCACATTATTTTTATAAAAATTATTTTAAACTGGGTAAATAAAAACAAATTACTGTAAATGACCAAGTTTTCATATACTTCCACAACTCTTATATTTAATATACAGTATATTAAATGGAAATTGAATTAAATATTTATGAGGGTTAGGAGGTCCGTGTATGGATTGGATTACTGTGCACGACATAAAGAAAACAGCCAACAATGGACCCGAATTGCTAAATACCCAAATATGGGAGATTACCGTTGAGTTGAAATAACAAAATGGCAGGACACATGATTTCTAAAATGTATGTCTGCGTGATAATTGAAATGTTTCCAGAATGTAAAGAAACATCAAAATATCAACCTTTCAAACATTGACTATCGGATATAAACAACATAACAAGGTGAGTTGAAATTTTCAAGTACATTTTCTAAATACTTCAATAGGTCTTGTATTGTCTCATGGTTAAGAATGTTTTTAAAGAAATGAAGTCTGAAGTGCAAAAACACAGACAGAATTGTATTCATAACATAAAGAACAATCAACAATTCTATTATTTGAGTGAAAAACATAATATGAATTTCTTTTGGAAGAGGGAGAAAGCACAAAACCAGAAGGGTACAATGTAAGTAGGATTTGAAGTAGGATTTTGTTTCTTTTGACACTTTTAGCAGTGTATAGTAAGTTTAGGAACCAAAAATAGTGATTTCATTGGCTATTTGCAACTGGGATATGAACATGATATGTTTACATTAATTAACAGTCTAGCTAAAGGGAGTCAAGTCAAAATTGTAGACCATTATATCATATTAGAATAATAAAATGAAAGAAGTCTTTTTGGCTAGTGTAAGGACATTAACTAGCTTTATCCATTAGATATCCTACCCATTAGATATCCTACCTCTTCAGTAAAGTACAAGGTATATATAGAAAGTTAATGAAAGCGCAGAATAATTTCTGCATTAAGTGCTGATGTGAAAAAGTCAGTCCACCCTTGTGGGGATTGAACCCATGACCCCTCGCTTTTCCGAAACAACAAGAAAATATAATGACAATCAATTACATTGGAATTGTACTCTAGGCAAGAAATGCAATTACTGCAATTCATCAATTTCTTAATTCTTAATCACAAGAGTAAACCAGATATTTGAATCAATCTATACATTAACTTTATAAAAGAGACCAAAATTCCAATCGATCAGGTTTTTGTCCATCTCCTCAAGTTCATTAATATTTATTTGATTAACCGTTACATTGTTAGGGTATCGGTTGTGTTGTTAGGGACACTAAGACATAGGTCACAAACCCATCTTATGTTAAACTGTTTATACATACCTTTTGCATTTATTATGGTAACAGTATTAATGAATCATTATTTTCTACATATATTTGAGATATTTTACAAATACACAAAAATCTTATTTAAAGGCCCCATATAAAGTTTAAACCACTTTGGCTTATATTGAAGTCTTACCCAATGTTATCAAAGTGTGATATGTGAAACTTTTTTTTTAAATTTCAAAAATTTCATAAATAAGCGAGAAATGAACTTATCAGTGCATGAAAATGGTTCTGAGAAAAATGCATTTCAAAATTTTAGTTCTCATAGAAACCAATGGTACAATGATATCTAAAACATAATTTATTCTTCCTTTTAACCTGGTTAGACAATCAACATTGGTTTTTTATGAAAGTCTAGCATATCTAGAAAAGATTGACATCGAAAAAAAAATTTCAATTTATTTCAAAAAGTTTTTGGTACCTTAGTGACATCACTAATGTTTCAAAATATTTTTGATATGCTAAAACATTGAAGTGGCCCATTAAATATGGCATTTTATTATTGAAATAGTGTGTCCTTTGTTCAATCTTTGCATTGGTGTTAAAAAGATAATCTTTTTTGAAATGCATTAAGAAATATTTGATGATTAAGAAATTTCAATATTTGAGAAATAAAATGCTCACAACTTTTTTTCCAAAAAATTTTTTTTGTTCAAAAATCTCTAAAATCACTTTTTAAGTCCTGACAAATAGTAAATGAATGATACAAAAATATTTTCAAACTATAGACGGGGACTTTAAATATTTATTTGAGATAAATATGGCCCTTTCTTAATTTTTGTTGATTAGGATTTATGTATTTGGTCCACATTCTTCAAAATGGCATTTTTGTTAGCACTTTTGCTATGACATTCAGCGATACAATCAGATTCAATCTTCAAATATAATAGTAACTATAACAGACCAGTATGTTAAGAAATTCTATTATAATCAGTTACTAAAATGTTATTTTTTGAATTGAATGAATTACAAGAAACATTTCAAATAGTATGAGCTAAGCTTTTATTAAATTTACATATCAATATAGTACTTACTGGTTCTTAAAACTGAATCAACATATCGTGAAAATGTCTCATTTTTCTATAATCATTGAAATACTTAGGTCTCCAAAATTAAATATTAAAACAGGTTTTGGGAGCTTACTTCACCTGATCTTGAGAGTTACCAGTTATTTGATACATAATAACTGTAAATATGTATATTGGTAGGGTTATAGAAACCACTTTGGCACTTTGAAGTCCCCAGTCTCCCCTACTATAATGTTATGAAGCAAAGCTCATATATAGCATATCAGGAAAGTATAACATGCTTTACTAAATATGGTATAGCAGTGAAAAAATAAGAAAAGGAAGAAGTAGAGAGTGATAAAGACCTCATACATGTATATGAATGGAACACATTTTATGGTACCCAAAGTGATCTACTTTAACAGTTTTTACTGGTGTATGGGTTAAACCACTTTAATTAATTAATTTAAATTGATTGGAATATCAAATCTGAATTTTATGGTATAAGTGAAATAGAACAAGCTAAGTCTTAATCATAAAAGAACAAAACTTCCTTTCACTTTAACATTATCAGATGTACAATGTTTTAAATATATCAGTCATAGAAATCTACATGAAGACAAGGTCATTGTTCGATAGAAGTAAAGGTTATTTCCTTCTCTTGTTTCAAATCAATAAGAAGTATTTTAAGAAACAAAGAACTGACTAAATCCATTTCGTAAAGGTTATATATAAACACCTAGAAGAAAGTATAAAGAATGTTAATATGATAGAGCTTTTGTTATTAACTCTGAAATAATTTAATTTATATTGATATATAATATACCTGGGGATACGACTGTTTTAAAACCTTCATTCTTATATTCAGTCATATCCTGAAACAATATCCTTCAGGTATTTTAAGTTACAGTACATAAGTTTTAATGAATTGATCTTTTAGATCATGTGATAGGCCCATGCCCATAGGGAGCAACATTATATAGACATAGCTTTGGAAACAGTGTATATGGGAACATAACATAGAGTATTAATGAGGAACTTGAGTGCTAATATTGAAGTTTTTCAGTAAATACTGTAGGAAACAATCACATAGATATATGGCTGATGGAGTAGAATTTTTATTAATCATTTTATATTGCCTTTTTCAGAAGACGAAACCAACAAATATATGCTCAGAACAGACAAGATAACAAGGATTTTGAAAAATAGGATAAAGCTCACGAAAAGCTAAACTGAATTAAGACAATTGGAACAATTTATGATTAGACATATATGATAAAGAGAAAATGAAACAACATATTAAGTTGAAATCCACGATTCAAATTAATACCAGATGAAACATAATGGACGACAAAAAGTGATGACATCACAGCAAAAATTGATGATGTCAGGGGAATCTAGAGGTTCTCTAGATATGATTCTAGAAGATGAAGAAGAACTTTCAAAATTACTGAGAGGTCCAAACAAATCTATACATAAGTTGCCAGCTAACATGTCAATCACAGATAGGTAATTTATTTATGATTTTATTTTTTTTTTAATCATTAATGTAATTCATTTATGATACCTTATTAGTTATTTAGATTATTGCTTGGTGTTGCCATGGCAAAATAAAAGGAACACAAGCATATCTCAAAATATAAGCCTCCCATCGAGTCTCTGCCTGCTCTTCTCCCTCTCTCATTAATACAAGGACTTTATACAGATCTACCCTCTCCCAAACTAAGCCAAGCCATCGTTAATCATTTCTGACAGCCCATTAAAAGATTTTTTACATAAGAGGTTTTGGAGTTTTGAGTGATGTCATATCTAACAATGACAACACAATTCAAAGAAGGGAAACAATATAAAACCTTTATTCATAAAAATATCATGACAGAACCCATTCATGCTAAAATAACTGTTAGCTATAAATATTAAATCACAGAGACATGAAACTGCGAAGTACCAATTCAATTTATCTTGCAGAACAAGGCAGTATATTAGTTAGTTCAACAACTAGTGCCTCATGTCTGGCTGGAAATAGCTTGTAATGTTGTATCATATGTGAATTATTGATAGCATTTTCCTCAATTGCTTAATTAATTACTCAAATATTACTGATTTTGATTTATTCAGACTATTGCCTGGTCATTCTATCTGAATGCATATAACATTTTCATCAATATTGACAAAACTTTTTCAATTATTTAAATATTTGTTCAAAAATAGACATCAAAGAGTATTATTTCTTTATTAAACACTTGGGTTAACCTGGGCTCATTAATTAGAACTCCATTCTCTGACTAAAACGGATCACTTAGGATTGTTTTCTTGTACCCTGGGATAATAACTAAGTGCACTACCCTCTAACTTCAATTCATCATTTTACAATTTCGTGTTCAACCAATCAGAGAGAATTACATAGTCAGGCTTATACTACATGTTTATATGTTGTTTAAACATTCATTTTGACATTGCCATGGTTATAAGCAATGGCAGGTTCTGATTGGCTCAAAGAAGTGCAGAAATATAAAATCAGAGTATGAGCTGAGACAAAGATTATCATTCTTGCAAAGGGTCCTTTAATTCTTAATATGACCATATATGGAAATAACCATGGAAATTACCATGGTTATAATTTGTTGCTGGCTTTGGTTGATTTGGGGAGTTGAGAAGTTTATCTATTGTTTTACGAGTTTAAGACAACACCGTAGCAAGAATGTATTTGATATGACTATTACAGAATATTAGGATATCATTGCTTTCTGTTATACTAAACCACCACCACTACAACCCTAGATAACCATTCTACCTTTATTCACTATAATCCTCTCAATAATTCTTATTTCAAAATAATTGTTTTTGGATATTAATCAAATATTCCAAAAGTACTTAACTTAGTAAGAATAACATGTCAAACTTCAGAAATCTGAGACATTGATTTTTGAGTACATTAGGTAAATTTGAAGTCATGTAAGTGTTATGTAAATAAATACTTGAAGGATTTCGCAGAAAATCATGCTTAACGTCAAATTCTTAAAAATTTGATTGACAATGTTCAAATAGTTGCCTATCATAAAACTTTTGTTGAAAAATGAGATCTGCTTCTTTCCCCTATAGCCTTACTAATTACACATTCATCAACAGCCTATATATCATTTTAAAGCTCAAAGTACAGGACATTGAAATATCCTGTAGGGAATGTGATTTACTGATATATTGACAAGGCTTTCACGCTAAATTATTATTTGTAACAAATATCACTAATTCACTGTAATCAGAAATCAACCCTGATTCAGAGAATTCTGGTAACTATGGCAACCAATTAGACCTTCAATAGGTTATAATAAACATCACCTTTGCAATTCTCTAAGAATAATATCACTAGTGAATGTTCTACTCCTAGAAAGTGAGAGGAGGTGATTTCTAAGTATTGCAATCAAATAAGTACTGTTACTTGAGAATCTAATACCAGTTTGGGCATAGAAAATTGCAGTGATTTACATAACACATGAAAAACAACTAAATTATTTATTATGTGATGGTTACTTGGTGGTATATAGCAGTTATTAATTTGGAAATAAATCAACAATTCTGGATTCTGACTTGTTAGAAACAAAAGGGAGTCGAGTATCTAGGTGATTTGTAAGTATATTTCAAGAACTATTTTATGAACATGTAAAAGAACTTTTAATCCTTGAACTATTTTATTTTAGGTTAAGTGGATCTATTGTCAATAAACATGATTAAAATGCGTTAAAAGTATTGTTATTTTATCAATTAAGTGTTGACAAATCATTGTTTAGTTTTTTACACTAGAAAATCTTTTGAACATTGATTGATTTCAAAGAATCACATGATTAGTTAGTTTAAAACAAATAAATGTTGTTTTAATATTCATTTTATTTTACTCTCAGTTTTATTCAGGTTAATATTCCAAGTTTTGAATCATCTGAATCGAAAAAAATCACAAATAGAAGTGCCAAAAATGCACTAAAAATTTCTTTCTTTTGAATCCTTGAATAAATAAATCAAAAAGCAAATGACATTATGACCTTCCATTTAAATACTTTTAATAACGATATAATTCTTTTAAATTAACACACTTGAAGACACATTTTCATTCAAGATAACCTTGACATTTTGAATGAAATCATCGATAAAAGGTTTAATTCCACATCATTGATAATTCCAATCAGTTGAAGGCCACTGACTCATTGACAGGGTCAGTGACATTTGAATAATGTGACCTGTGGTACGAAAGTACATTCAATCTGAAAAACAAGATTCCAACAGCACAAAAGACATTTGCTGCATTAAAGTCAGGGACACGTTTCCATTTCCTTATTTACAAACTTCTTATAAAGAGATTCAAAAGAGTATTTCATCAATAAAAAGTTTAATTCCACTGATAATTCTTATCCAAGGCCATTGCCTCACTGAGAAGGTCATTGATAAGCTGAGCTGGGCAACTTTTTAAGTACATCCAACCTCAAGAATAAGATTCCCAAAAGCACAAAACAAATTCTGCTTCCCAAGTCAGTGACATGCATTCATTCTCATTTTTACATACATCATATAAAGAGATTAGAAAGAGTATTGAATTTCAATGTTCCACATTCAATTAAGGATCGAGGATAATATATTGTGCACATTGCAAAATGTCACCTCTAAACCAGTCATAAATACTTTAAAACATATTTATCAAGTAAGCTTATACACCACGTTGCACTTTTCATATCATTTAATTCAATTAAGGTAACAGTATAATAGAATGAAATAAATAAATCTTTCAAAAAACAAAAGCAAATTTTTTTCAAAAAAATCATAACGCGAAAGAAGACCAAATATAGAAGATTTGAGATACAGAAATGTCCAAATTAATTAACTGAGAAGGGGATGTCTGTTTTTTCAAAACTACTGCTTGAAATGAATAACATTTGCATTGTTGGACCTTTTAGAAATTGGCAGAACATCAAATGTTCTGAGCGAAATACATCGAATAATTGAAGATTCTCTCAAATTATCAATTTCTAACAAAATAATACAATATTAACAACAATACCAGAGACATGACACTGAATTATGTACCACAATTAATCATGTCTGCCTTCAAATGATAAAAAGAATATCCCTAATATTTATGTTAAGACACGACTATGTAGGGGAATTCAGACATATAAGATAGTAACACAACAAAATCCATTCCCAGACTCATAAATCAACATTCATTCAATTTTTTCTGAACTGAAATTATATCAGTCTTTGATCATGAACTTGATTTACCTATATTTTTTAAAACTATACAGACCCTCAAGTTTTTATCATACAATCGTCTAAAAGGCATGTCAGATAATATTTTCTTTAATGTTGTTCACATGTGTTTCAAATTGTTGTAAATTTCTTTGTGTAACCCAACGAGGGTTGAAATTAACCCTAGCACAAAATTCAAATCCATCAAACACTTGATAATTTATCATATAATAAATCAACCCAACTCTATGTCTCTCTTCAAGTTACAAGACTTAAGTGATAAATTCTAGTGAATATTATTTGTTCAGGGTTAAGAAGTTGAATCCATTTAACTTTAATAATGACACTCTTTGGTGCTCCGATGTGATTTATACCTGTAAATCTCACCTGGAGCCCTATCAAAGTGAGAAGTTCGTTAAAGGTAAGTGTTGTGATATGGAGACTCTCACAGTTGCGGAGAGAGGCGAGAGCGCGAAATTGTTTTCTGGAAGTTGTCGTCAACAAAAAACTTGTTACTTGCTGCAATGACAAACTGTATTAAACCACTGGAGCAAAACAACGGACTAATAATTAGTAATATTTGGATTGGTATTAAATATACAATAAACAATACAATGATGATGATTTAATAAGAAGCATCACAATTTTAAAATTAAGGTAAACATCATACTGCACGTTTAATTTAACAAGGCATTAACATGACAAAATGTCACCACCTAGTTGCTCACAATATTATGAGTTCAAACTTAAGTCAGATTTGAATTTCTGAGAACTTGTAAAGTCAAATTTGAACTTCTGAAAAGATGTAGATGATTTTGAAAAAAAAATTTGGTCAATTTGAAGCAAGTTGAAACAGACCTTTTTGACCTTTTTTGACCTTGAGAAGGTCATTAAAGGTCAAATGTCAAATCTAAAGTCAGATTTGAATTTCTGAGAACATGTAGATGATTTTGAAAAAAAATTAGTCAATTTGAAGCAAGTTGAAAAAAGACCTTTTTGATTTTTTTGACCTTGAGAAGGTCATTGAAGGTCAAATGTCAAATCTAAAGTCAAATCTAAAGTCATATTTGAATTTCTGAGAACATGTAGATGATTTTGAAAAAAAATTTAGTCAATTTGAAGCAAGATGAAAAAATATCTTTTTGACCTTTTTTGACATTGAGAAGGTCATTGAAGGTCAAGTGTCAAATCTAAAGTCAGATTTGAATTTCTGAGAACATGTAGATAATTTTGAAAAAAAAATTTAGTCAATTTGAAGCAAGTTGAAAAAAGACCTTTTTGACCTTTTTTGACTTTGAGAAGGTCATTGAAGGTCAAATGTCAAATCTTAAGTCAAATCTAAAGTCAGATTTGAATTTCTGAGAACACGTAGATAATTTTGAAAATTTTTTTTAGTCAATTTGAAGCAAGTTGAAAACAGACCTTTTTGACCTTTTTGACCTTGAGAAGGTCATTTAAGGTCAAATGTCAAATCTAAAGTCAGATTTGAATTTCTGAGAACATGTAGATGATTTTGAAAAAAAAATTAGTCAATTTGAAGCAAGTTGAAAAAAGACCTTTTTGACCTTTTTTGACCTTGAGAAGGTCATTAAAGGTCAAATGTCAAATCTAAAGTCATATTTGAATTTCTGAGAACATGTAGATGATTTTGAAAAAAATTTAGTCAATTTGAAGCAAGATGAAAAAATACCTTTTTGACCTTTTTTGACATTGAGAAGGTCATTGAAGGTCAAATGTCAAATCTAAAGTCAGATTTGAATTTCTGAGAACATGTAGATGATTTTGAAAAAAAAATTAAGTCAATTTGAAGCAAGTTGAAAAAATACCTTTTTGACCTTTTTTGACTTTGAGAAGGTCATTGAAGGTCAAATGTCAAATCTTAAGTCAAATCTAAAGTCAGATTTGAATTTCTGAGAACACGTAGATGATTTTGAAAAATTTTTTTAGTCAATTTGAAGCAAGTTGAAAACAGACCTTTTTGACCTTTTTGACCTTGAGAAGGTCATTGAAGGTCAAATGTCAAATCTTAAGTCAGATTTGAATTTCTGAGAACACGTAGATGATTTTGAAAAAAAAATTTAGTTAATTTGAAGCAAGTTGAAAACAGACCTTTTTGACCTTTTTTGACCTTGAGAAGGTCATTGAAGGTCAAATGTCAAATCTAAAGTCAGATTTGAATTTCTGAGAACATGTAGATGATTTTGAAAAAAAATTTTAGTCAATTTGAAGCAAGTTGAAAACAGACCTTTTTGACCTTTTTTGACCTTGAAAAGGTCATTGAAGGTCAAATGTCAAATCTAAAGTCAGATTTGAAGGTCAAATGTCAAATCTAAAGTCAGATTTGAATTTCTGAGAACATGTAGATGATTTTGAAAAAAAATTTAGTCAATGTGAAGCAAGTTGAAAAAAGACCTTTTTGACCTTGAGAAGGTCATTGAAGGTCAAATGTCAAATCTAAAGTCAGATTTGAACTTCTGAGAACATGTAGATGATTTAGAAAAAAATTGAAGTCAGTCTAAACAGTATTTGTTAAGTTATAGGAAGTTGTAAGAAATTGTTACAGACGCCGAACGCCAACCGCCGGACGCCAACCACCAACCGCCGGACGCCGTCGCAAAAAAACGGAGACCATAACAATATGTCACCACTTTTGGTGGTGACATAAAAATGGAAATGACATTTCAAAGAATCTGTATAAAAAGATGTTTTTTACTTAAAATTTTGTGTAAATAAATATATATCATCCATATTTAGAATTGGAAATATTAAAGCATAGTACCATAATATTTATAAGTTTGCGAGTCACATTTATATAGCGAAATTGATCCAGAAAGAATTGCAGTCTCACTTTGGACAATCACCAACTTCTCATGTGTTGTTATCTTTAATGCAAAATATCAATGAAAAAACTTGAACTATCAAGAAATACAACAGGAATTTACTAATGAGAGAATGTAAATTGTAACGTTCATTAAAATGATAAATAGAATTGGTATATTAAAAGGACTTTATAAACAGGCAAAATCTATTGATGAACTCATGGGCAATGACAAAAATAACAATACATTGGATCAATCATCTTATTATATCAATTAAATCATTGATACATGCAGATACACTCTACTTGTAATTAACAAATATTTACTTAATTGTATAAATATAATTCATTACTCTCAATGAGATTCATTTCATCACTGAACATGACAGCATGAGATTAATTCTGATAAATAATGATAACAAAGACTGCACCCTCTGTAAGGGTACTATGTTACTTACTAACTGTAGCTGTAAACAAAGAAACAAAATTCAGAAAAATAATCAAGACGCTATACCTAGTATCAGTTTTGTTAAATTTTCAATTGTTCATAATATTTTCAACAAGAATACTAGATTTTTGCTGTACTTTTTCTTTAATATGAGGCACTTATATTAATTGGATAAATAATATAGGTGTGTATGTGAGGAACAGAAGACTGCACTAAAAGCACTAAGAATGGCAAAGATATTAGTGTTGCATTCAGTTTTGCTTTATTTTCATGGAAGAATACTAAATAAATATACAATATTTGTTTTCCCTGATTGAGAGGAAATCGTATCGGAAATTACAAAATCAAATCTGTTTTTTCTGTCAATAACTTAGAATTCACACTATGTCAATACATGAAGTTTCTTCTTTGGACTAACAGAAATATAATCCAAATTCAGGACAAGATTTTCCTTTTACTTCAAAGCTATATCTTATAGAATTAAGCAACTCTAAGAGCTATAAAAAGTTGTAAAATGAAACTTTTTAAAATGAGTGGAAATTGAGACCTAGACCTCTTCTGTGATAAAAATCAAAAATCAATAAATATCATAATGGTACGAAATACAAAAACATCTAATTGAGTAAATGGCTAAATGCGCATGTACCCAATATTGACCTGACAGAGAGGGTAATTTAGATGTTTACCATCAACACCTAATACATCGAAATCTCATAAAGTTCATGCTTTATTTTGACGCTATTTTTCAGGGTAACCTTAGTGAGAAACACAGCCGAGCAGAAACACCTGCGACTCGTGAGCAGCCATTTTAAGAGAGAAATGAAGAAAAACATGGCAGCATATCGCAATAAAACTGACCAATTGAAAGAGGAGTTATACCAATTCCAAAATGATCTTAACCAATTTCACATGGATGACTCAAAAGATGTCAGGACTAATTCCAATATGGCTGACACGCCATCACGATTTTACTCCTCGCCATATAGTCGGATAACTCCAAAAACTGGTACATCCAGTCGGAATGGATTGTTGAAGCCCAAATGGAATTCTAGTCATAATTTATTAGATAGTGAAATGCTCAAAGCAGTAGATGAACGTAGAAATAGCACGCCCTTGCCAGAGAACTTGATGGCTCTCCCAGAGCTAAAGAATCATATACAGTTATCATACATAGACAGGAAAAACTCAGTTCAGAATCTTTCGCATATTTTAATCCCAGAGGAGGATAAAATTGATTCTGATCCTCCATCATTTGATTCTAGTATGGAGTCAGACGAACAGACATTACAGAGTGATATAAAACCCAAACAGGAAACAATGGATTATACTGAAGGAAAACATCATACAGATAATACTGATAAAAATACCAATAATAAAACAAGAAATAAATCTAAAGGAAAAAGAACAAACAGAAAAGTAAAAGAACCAGCAGAAAGTCCTGACAAAATGTCATATAGTCCTAAAAATAAAAATAAAAGCAACAAAAAGGTCCACTTTGCTTGTGACACATCGGATGGAGGATACAGCTCAATGTCAAGCTCCCCCAAACCTACATTAGAGCCCCAAAAACCAGCACTTAAATTTCCTATTATCCTTGAGAGAACAAACTCCATAATACCACCAATTATGGAGAAATTCTGCATCCTTGGACCATCCCATAAACCCAACAATATTGAACGTCAAACAAGTGATAAAAACCTAAAAAGAATGAAAAGTCGGACTAAACCAAACAAAACAGCAATCACTAGAAAGTCCTCAGAGAGTAAAATTGAGTATAAAGTATATTATAAAAACCCAGACAAAGACATCAGCCCTGTGGACAAATTCCGGGAAGTTGCACAAAAAGTGATGCCCCAATCACGAACAAACAGAGACAAAATGAGCATGCTGGATGTGGTGCTTGCAGTAAAAGAAAGACTCTGGGAAAACCAGCGGGACTTAAAATTTGGGGAATCAGTGCCAAAAGCGAATCATGGTGTTTTATTGACAGATTTCTTGCTGAGTAAATCTGCAGATCATGAAAGGCAGGAGAACAAAATGGTAAGATTATGAGATTAACATATATTTAGAAATAATCCCAAGATAATCTGCATTTATTGAACTGATAATAATGGAATGGCACGGGGAAATCTATTTTAACATTTTTACAAAGACCTAAAAAATGTATGATCGAATGGTTTTTTGGCTTATGATATCTCGTGAGCATATATGACTTTATGTATATAATGATAATAAGTTGGTTTGTATAGGTTAATGATATAAATTATACATAGTTCACAATTTATAGACTTTTTAAATACTCAATGGACATATCAAATAGTACATATAAATTATATCGTCCTCACACATCTATTTTTTGCAAGGGTTTGTTTTCAATAAGCCAATCTGGCATCACCTTTCCATGTAATCAAATATGAGTTCATTGTCATTGTTAAATGAGTAAATGAACTTATATTTGAATAACCTATTTCCATATATTTAATTATTCAATTAAACCCAATTGAACTTTTTATTTGAGCAATTGATCTGTATGTCAATGTTAGATGTTTCTCAATAAATCTGAGATTTTATTCCATGACATCCTCACCTAGAATTACTAAAACCCGCTTTAAAAGTACAATCCCCTCCAAAAATTTAACAATAGAAAGTCCATCATTGGAATTATATGCTTGGCGACCTACTGTAATTGAGGAATTAAAGTTCAAACTAATGGAGAGCTGAGGTGCATATATTTTGATGAGAAAGCACAAAGGGCAACATTTGGAAATAATTTCAGACATTATTCACATTTTCATATAATTTGAGTTTATAAATTGAGAACAAATACTGAGAAAGAATGTAAAAAACAAGTAGGTGATTATGATTTCTCACCCATGTGAGCTAAAAAATTATTAAAAAAAACCTGTGATATAAATTCGAGAAATATGAGTATACAGTAAAATAACATTTGAATGAATCTTGAAAGAGAATCACAACAGAAATATCTCAAATGTTTGCTTTCCTGCCATGATTATATTATTACAAATGTTACAATCTTATCAGAACTTTAGAATGAAACAGACAATCATAAAATATCTGAAGTTGTATTGTAATAGCATTTGCCAATACTCAACTGATAATCATTGCATGTATCATAAAGTGACATTCTTATTTTAGTGTACCTCTCGTGTCACTGATTAGAAAGCAAGGAACAAATAAATAAATAAATAACACGTATAAACATGTACAACTGTTGACAAATTCAATGTTCCTTTACTCAATGATACATGTCAAATAAAGTGTAAATGTTAGTATAGATTTTTGGTGATTTTTGGGTATACATATATTCCCCATATACATGTCATTCTCATCAAATTATTTCTGTTTATGTATCATAGGAAAGCATAAGGGACAACTTAAAACAAATACACACATACACCAAGGAATTCTAGTATCATTTTAGGGGTCTTATGTATTTTCAGGCAGTGGAGGGGTCTTCACAAAAGGGTGTCCCTGGATTCTCAGCTGAACGAAGTGGAAGACGTCACCCAAATGTGCTTTTGAAAAATCAACTCCGAAAAATGGCGAGAAATCGAACAATGTCAGAACAAATAGAGGCAGAGCAATATAGACTTGAAAATATGGATGTCACAAAATCCTGACACTATGACATTGGGGCTCTATGAAATGTGCATGTAATCTGACATGAATTCGTGTCAGTGGAATACAGTTATCAGTAAAAAATATATTAATTCACAGAGATCCATCAATTATATAGGTCAATTACCTAACTTACAATGGTTTCTAGTGGATGTAACCTAGATTGTTCACAGTTTTGACAAGCTACATATCACATAATTATTCTTCTGTAAGAGTATCCATACATGTCAATTGATGTTATGAACGTATATGCCATGAAATAAAGATGACTAAAAATTATATACACACTGTGGTAGTTTACAGTTATTTATTGGTAGAAATGCCTTTCTTAAATTATCATGCTCTCTGATAATAACAATCATAACAATCGTGATTTTATCAAATTTTTTTTTAAATAATTTCATTCATGATGTCAAAACAAAATGTTATACTGAGCAAAAGCTTTTTTGCACATTTCATTTCAAATATTATTGTGAAGATTCATGTATAAAAAAAAGTTTTTAGCTTCAACCAAGCATTGTAAAGACATAAGCAGCTCAAAATATTATGTTCATATTAAACAACATGTGCACATGTTTGTTTTATCAATATCCCAAATATATCAGGAGATTGGGGAGCTCACACTATAATAGTTGCAGATCCATGAATTAAATAATGAAGGTTATTTTTCAGTTACAAGCATATTCCATGTACAAGCTATAATAAACCTGTTTAAGAAATGATCGCATCAGAGATTTTAATGTCATGGAAGACAATTAGATATGAAAAAATAGAAATGACAAAAAGTGTTCACATTTAGAAAGGTTCCCTTTACAAAAGTGTTCTATTTAGTCCCTGTACCAAAGGAAGAGAGAATTAGAAGCAAATATTTCACCTATGCTAACAGTTAACAAGTATAAACTAAATAACATGTTAGATTTACAAAATGCAAAGTAAACACAAAAACATATACACAAACAAATATAAAGCAAAAAATAAAAACAAAATAAAACTTACATAGAGGTTTGCCTTTGTGACCATTTGAAATTGTTAGCATTTTGGTCTGTACTGAGGGTAAAGCTATTACGTCGTTCCGGAGGTATGGGGGTAAGGGGGGCATCGGATGTGCTGCCAGAGCTACTGATTGAACTAGAACTGCTGAAACATGCAGGTGTCTCATGCTACATACAGTGTTTACAGATTGTCAGAAAGATTATACAAGATAATTTCATGTTTTTGCTACTATGATTACAAGAGAGAATGATACATAAAAAGAAGTTTTGAAAAATGGTCCCCTATTTCTATACTGCCATATTTGAAAAGGTATCACAAAATGTTTTCAATTTAACAACAGATGAAAGAATATAATACTGATTTTGAAACATTTTCTTGTAACATGAAAATAAAAATAAAAAAATATTAAAATTCAGTTAATGAAAATCATAATTTGTTTCTATTTGATAATCTTTTGTCAAAATAATCCACAGATAGTTTATGTATTTAATCAAGGAGGATTGGAAGCCAGGGTTCCAACTCGATATTCTTTAATCTCCACGCATGCGTCATTTGCTATTCGTGTCTGTATAATTTGTACGACTGCATGGAGAATGACCCGATACTCTCCAACAAAGCTATCGCTAGGTGATTGTTTTGCAGAATATCGGTGTTGCATTCTGGGAGCCAATCCTCCTTGGTATTTAATCATAGAGCAAAAACATGATCATATTTTATGAAATTGACAAGATGCTGCAGTGACATCTATCAGACTTCAGTTGAAAGAATAGCATATAAATCATAATGCACAGGAACAATACATAAATCATACACTAGAATAAAATAAATTTTGAGTATAAATTGAAATAACTAGTTAAGATATACATATACACGTAACATAATAGCAAAGCAAGATTCAAGGAAGATCAACATGAGGTCATTTCTTATGAAGTATATTGGATGCTTGAAATTTAACTCTCTTTTTTGATGTAAGTACAGTGACATGAAAGACAATGAATTTCTCACAAATAATCACTTAATTTTTTCTAGAAATGACATCATGTGCTCTTGTATATTGTGCAGCATGCAAGGTAAATGTGTATATCACCTAACTAAACTATAAACAAGAATGTAAACATGCAAAAATGAAGAACATGCAAAACAACAAAGTAAAAAAAACATGTAAATAAAAACATGTAAAAAGCAAAAAAATAAAAACATGCAAATGAAAATGAAACATGCAAAACACATTCAAAACAGACGCAAAGCACTGTGTCAAGCAATCAGTTATTACAAAATCTCTCAAATAGACGAAGCCATCAATAGTGGACTCTAATCATATCAAACTAGCAAATTGATTAACTTACCAATAGTTTGTTTAAACCACTTCTAATGTAATCCATACCATACTAGGATACTCTTAATGTTTCCAAACTGCCTATACAATAAGCTAAGAGAATTTTGAATTCACTCGAGAAATTCATTTTCCATGTAAACTTTTCTAATAATGGTGGAGTACAATTCATTCAACTATCTACTGTGTATCATGGAAGTAATTAAAAAAGCTAGAGACAACCAAAGCAAAACACTTCTACAATGTTTACACTCACAATTTCTTATTCCTAAAAGTGATAAAATTGAATCAAGATGACTAACAGTAACATATTTGATATGTCTAACCAAATATTTTTCATTTATACATGTACATTTTACTTGTTGGACTTATACTGAAATGGCTCTGGCTTCACAGACTTTCTCCTTACTATACCATGAATTCTTCTACATATATCATGAAAACTCCTCTATATACCATTAATACTCCTTTCTATATCATGAATACTTCTCCATATATCATGAATACTCCTTCATATATCACAAATACTTCTTCATATATCATGAATACTTCTCCATATGAGCAAACAGGCCTCGGAGAGGGGGTACAGGCGATTTGATCAATTCATTTTGTAATTTCTTACTTTGTGGATAATATCCCCAATAGGGGGTCTTCCACTTCATGTTATTGTAATATTATACAATATAAGGAAATAAATAATAATAATAATAATATACCATGAATACTCCTCCATATTTCATGAATACTCCTTAATATATCATGAATACTCCTTTATATATCATGAACTCATATTCCCCCTAAATATGCTTCATTATCTGTACTGACACAAACTACTGTATGTTCTGCAAAATGATATGCAGGATGATAAAAATTATAATGATAAACTTGATAACACGCTTCATGATAACATGCTTCATGATAACATACTTCATGATACACTTCATAATATGCTTGAGAAATGTGCAAGAATATTTGACACTTCATTCAAAATACTGACGCGAAAATTAACAAAAAATAATGAAAAATAAATAGGACTAAAATGCCATCTTTTGACAAATTAAGACAACTCACTGAGAGAATGGCCGCCACATGCGTTTTTCAACCTGAGTTGGTGGGCAGCTCTTATTTCTGCGCCGCGTCATCACCGGAGAGGGCGAAGCTGGAGGTCTGTTGAACAGCATGGGGTTATGTTTAAATACAGGGTGACACAATGTTTATTTTACTTTTCTAATCAAAATCAGGTAACAGTGATTGATGCTTGGACCAGGTATAACCCAGGTGAGTAGTATGTCTGTGATACATATTTCTGGGTCATGCTTTGAGCACAGTGTTCAATGCACCCACTGCCTTTGTAAATGTTGTGCCATTAAATAATAATGTAATTTGCATACATTTGTGTCACACTGTAATTCCCATATATTACTTTACAGCTATATAGTACTATTATTTGGAAATGAATAACTTACAATCATCTTTCATGAAAAAGGAAACTTAAATATTTGATTTCATCGAAAAAGGGCAAAACAGAGATTCCTTAATCAAATATAGGTAACTTAAATTCTCAATAACATTATCTTTGATTTTAGTTTTTACAAAACATACAAAAATAACTTTATTAATCAAATTTAACAAAGCCATAAAGCTCTAACTTCAAGCATAAGTCCTAAATGGCAAATGTATCTAAGTGTACTATAAAGATGACGATGAAAGTGTCAGAAGCTCTTACTAAATAACAAAATATGTTTCTAAGATAAAGAAATTGATCAAATGATTATTGCCATTAAGGTGAGCAAGGTAGAATATTATAGCTCAAGTTAATTAGTCAAATCACTTATACTCTGCCAACCTTAAGAATGAATATCTGTGGAACTACAATTGTAATAATTAAGCCTAATAATCTTGTATTACTGGTAATAAGCAATAAATGAGGCTTAATTGGCTTAACTCCTATAGGCTTAAAACTAATCGTTGATGAGTCTGCTTCATGTATGTATTAGTTGGGCATAGAAGAATAAGAAGCACATTAGACTGGCACCAAGCATCCCCAGGTAACATGCTGCCCCATGGATGCAGAATACAATAGACCAATTCAGTGAGAAACACTCTAATTAGCTCCAAGCAGCATGGACAGACATCAGACTCCTTTCCTTTTAAGGTAACCAGACAGAGAAAGAAAAGCGGTGAATATCAACAAGCCATCTCCAGACCAATCTACATCTCTTGCTTCACTTGCATTTAGCTACATATTGAAGTGAAGCTTCAGAAATTTTTGATAACTCAGGCCTATACAGCACTTAAGTATAAATCTTACTACTAAAGTGATATATGATTTAAATGTGAACGTATTGATGAAACTATTATAACTTTACTGACTTATATAACCAATTAAAAGCTTATGCACTGATGCATCACAGAACTACGGAAATATATTATAAACACAGCTACAGCTGCATACAGCTAAACAACTACAGCTACATAGTTCAGATGTATATTTTAGTAACTGACATGGACAACACATACAACTTTATATTCTAAATCAAATCTACAGTTTTGCTATTATGAGATGACTAAAATACTACATAACACATTCTAAAAGCTGTACCAAATGCACACACAGACATGCCCCCATTTTCACCATATTCAAACTACTCCCAAATACATGTAATCACATAGATTCTTTTGTTTCAAATCAACTGTGATTATCAGGCAAATATGGAAGGAAAAAGTTGTACAAGGCTACAAAATGTGCAACTACAGTTTACCAAAATATTATATGGAGTCCCATTTCCCTCAAAAAATGAAAGTAAAAAATGACTACTTGCATTACTTGTATTAAATAAAGCAACTGGTTGTAACTTTACAAGGCAACCCTAAATTTTGACAAAGTTATCAAGTACTGCTCTGGTCCTGAAAAAAATCAGTTTTTTTTGTTTAGGTTATGACCAGCCTGGTCAAATTTAAGATGCCTTATTAAAATTAGAACCACACATTATTGGGTGTTAAAGTTATAAAAGAGCACTTACATTGTGTTAATTCTGGGGGGTCTGTCAGAATCAGAAAGTCGTAAACTTTTGCTCCGTCTAAATGGACTCGTAGTCTGATTGCTGGGTTCATTAGGTGATGTTCTATACAACAATAATAACAACAACCAAATAAACTCAAAGTTAATTGCATTCCCGATATGGAGATATCCCAGAAGGTTATATACAACATTGACAAGGCCTAAGCCAAGGCATTATTGGCCCTGTAAGTTAAATTATCTGATTAGGATATAAGATGTCTCTCTTGTTTGTTGAAATAAAGACTATGACTACTGGGATATCTCCAAATGGGATAAATTATAAATACAGCTGTAAATCAGATGTTAAGGCAATCAAAATGCAAACTTGTGTGTGTAAAATGCACACTGGCTTTAAGAAATCAAATATTACAACATTAAATTCTACTTTCACGAGTCAAATCATCAAATCATATTCACCACCTTAAATGAATCATAGCTACGATGAAAAATAATGTATAGAAATATGAGTGGATCACAAGATGAACTGAACAATGTTTTAATAAAAATATTATGAAACAGAAATCTCAATAAACATGCCTTACTACATTTTAAATCACTGCAATATAAATTAAAGGCCCAACATAAGTTGTTCAAACCTTACACAGGGCCTTTAAAAGAAATAAAGCTACAACACTGAAATGAAAGTCTAACCTAAATGCACAAAAGGCAACATTTGATAACACATAAAGCCAGAATGCATTCTATAACACAACAGGGTGTTAAATATCTAAAATAAAACAAAGCAGTAAAACTCCAAAACTTTACCTCTGTTAAGGTCTAAATTATCGTAATCATAAAGCTTCGCAATATTATAAAGCAATATTTTAAAAAGATTTTCTGGAAATTTCAAAAACCTGTTCAGTGAACTTTCCTGTAGAAGTACTTCTTAAGCTTTTGACTAATGTATTTTTAAGAAGTGAGTGAAAATACATATTCCAGTATGTCTAATGTTATTCTCACCATGTCTGTGATCTTTGTAATGTAAATGATATGCAGAACAATCAAAAGGAATTGAATCAGAATAACTCATTCATCTTAAAAAATCAAAAATCCAGCATACTTTTGTCTGTTTTGCATCCCTTCCTGATATCTATAGTTAGACCTTGAATATTTATTAGTAGAACATGAACACCCCCCGTCCCCCAAAAATATTAACACCTCCCTCCCCCAAAAATATTTTAAAAAGGTCATGCAAATTAAGTTTTATGTACTTTTAAATAAAGTTACTACATGCAACAAGCTTAGAAGTAAATAAAGTAAACAATTATAATTGTTAATATAAATGAACTAAAATAAAAGCAAACAAAAAATCTATTCTAATTTTAAGTATTTTATCAAAATGTTTTATTACACTACAAAGCAAAAGCATAAGAATTCAAGTCAAATAATGCAATCATGCATGAATATTCTAATGATATGCGCATAATATTATGTTAATTAGTGCTAGAGACTTACGCTGATTTGTTAATCTTGTTTTGTTTCTCCACTTTACTCATGCGGAGGCTACGACTGCGTTTGAATAGACTAGTATTGGACTTGGGGGCGTCCCCACTGCTGTGCGGATCAGACAAATCAAAAATCATAGAAATCAACACACAAAAGACATTAAATAAGAACGTGAAATAAAAGTGTAAATGAAACCAAAATGGTGATGAAAATAAAATGAGTGCAAATCAAATCAATGGTAAAGATTAAAAGTATTATGATCACCATACACACAATGTATATTTTAAAATAAATTTTAAAAACATTCAAACAGTTATAACAAAACAATGACACAACCCATATAAGTACATAATAAGAAAGCATAGAACTTTCAATTTCACCCCCTGACATACCCCCAATTGACAATTTTTGCACAAATAAACAATATAACTTGAGACTTTAAAAGAGAAGACACCTATATGTGTAAAGCACCAACATTGAAGCATTTTGCTGGAATCCACATTTCACTGATGCAAACATATAAACAAAAAATATATTTTAGTTTATTTAACAGTAAATGATATCCGCAATCAACTTTCAACCAATCTAAAATTCTCTACAACATTCTCTACAGCTAGTGCTAATCAGAATATCTAAAATTCATAACTATTGAAGGGGTCTTTCTCATAAGTTCCTCATGCTTGTTTACCTCATAAGGGGTCTCATTTAAAAGACAACATGCTGTTAGTATTACCATGGCCCGAATACTATTTGGTAGTCAAACCCTTTTCTAATAAGGGTATGTTAGTTGAACCCTCAACATGTCATATATACATGTATGAACCTCCATAACCTCTATTAGTCTCCAACAAACCATGATACCTCATATTCCACCTAAAGCCACCTTAGTATAGATTTATTATAACCCATGAACAAACATTTAGATCAGGGAAATTGATAGTGTGATTATGTTTGAATAAGGCTCCTTATAACAAACCCCTGGTCTTATGTGAACTATAAATAATCTTCCAGATATTACCTATCTTATTGAATATAAATAATCTTTTTGTTAAACCATAGGCTTTGGGCTGATATAAAAGACAGCAAAAGAAAAGATATAAAAGAGTTGACTGCCCTGATTTCTTTTTACGATTACTATTCCTTCAATCACCCCAAGCCCATGTTTTATATAATTTCCAATGCTGAACTTTCCTACAAGTGAAGCAATATTTCAATTCACCTGATTGGTTCTCAAAGTCACATGGTCAAACAATCTCTCACATTCATATCTATACTCTCTCTCATACGTCCATCATGTATTGGAAGAAGTATTCAGTGGAACATAGGTGACTTACGTTGGATTTTATTTTCATTTTAAGAATTGTATGTGTACATATATCAGAAATTGATAGATAGTTCAATTTCCTACATTTTCAAATCAGACTTTTAAATTTCCATATGTGGATTATTTCTACGGAATCAGTCACCAATTCTCCACTGCATACCTTTCCATATTTCCTACTTACACTGAGCTAGGTGTCTGAGTCTTCGTTGGCTGAATTACTGCAGGAATATTCTTCCGCCTTAGAACAGGAGAAGGTTCTGGGGTCTGCCTTGCTGAGAGGCGTCCACTTCCATACTGGGGGGATATCCCTCTGTCATTTTTTACTGCATTTTGGTCTTTTTGTACAGGAACACTTGTGGGCCTTGAATCATTAAAAACCAACATTTCAATGAAAGATTCTCATATTTGGAATTTTTATTTGCCAAAAGAATGATTTTCATGTTTTTCTGTATGTAGTAGGCACTTTTTATAAGACAGAATTAAGGTGCCATTCATAGTTTCTTTCACCGAACTCATTCTTTTAGCCCATAAAGTTCATGAGATTACACAACATACAAATATTTCCATAATATAGCTAGCTTAAATTAGTATTTGGTACAACAGACACAACATTCTGATAGAAAACATGCAACTTAAATAAATTAAATTATAAAATAATGTATAATATGAAAATGATGAACAAATAAAACAATGTATATGAAGACAAACAAAATACAAACTGTGCAGTAGCCTACACCCTAACCTGGTATTTCTGGGTATATTAGAATCACTTGATACTTTTTCTAAAGTTTTAACCCTCGATGGAGGGGGCATCAGTAAACTATCGAGACTGGGTTTTTTATCAGGAAGGAGGCTGTTGGTATTCGTCTGTTTCATTTCTTCATGTTCTTCAGGCATTATGGGTAACACTGGGATTATATTTTCTTCTGATCCACCGCAAAAAAGTAGATCTTCTGTTGTGGCAGTTTTTCGTCTGGCCTGAGTGGTGAAAAAGTGATGGGCATTTATTAAAATAAGCTTTACATCTCATTGTGATGTAACACTTATAAAACAGAAAAAAATGTAAAATTCAATTAAACTAATATTTCTTTTTGAATTTCTGTCTTATTTCTTCTAGGTTTGAAAATAAAAAAGAGATTTTAAGTGGCAATTAACGCACCTTGGTCTCTCCCTTGTTTGGCCTTGCGACATTATCCAGACTACCTCGACCAATCAGCAACTCTTGCGCCTCCATCATCCTATAGGTGTCACTACCAGGCACACATACATTAATACATGGGTCAAGGTCACGACCCCAAGTGATTGTCACATGTGAGCGAAGCAGCCACATGATGTGAGATATGTGAGGCAAACATGAGTTAGGTTGAAAATCAGTTTTCTCCAAAGGATATCAATTTCTCAATGTATGCAAGGTCCAGTTGTTTGAATCATTTGGAGATTGATGAGGTCATGCCAGGAGATGAATGCGGGTGACATTATATGTAGTAAAGTTAGTAAACAAAGACCCAGGGTTTCAAAAATATTATCTATTATTTTGTTAAAATATCATAATAAAAATATCTTTAAATTTCTGCTAGACTCAGTGAACCATAGAAAATATACCCTAAAAGTATATCAATTATAAAAATAATTTAGTTGAACTAACATTTTGTTTTAATAACGTTCTCAAAAATTGACCATGAAAGTCTGGGTCATGTGATATGTTAGTCTGCAAGCATGCATAGCAGCAGTTTAGCAAGAAACAACATGCAGTTAGGATACATTGCTCAAAAATAAAATGTTCATGAAGAAAAAAAATATGTATAAGAACGAAGAATCGAACAACAAGTATAATGGATGGCAGTTTGATTTATACAGTGTTAGGATTAGAAAATATCACAGATTTGTAGCTTATAGATCACCGGTAAAATATGTACAAATTATGAGTATTTATTTATATACATTGATGGTAATATTTACATATATTTACAGGTCCATTTTTATGGTATATACAGTAGTTCATTTAAAACTCTTTAAATTGAGCATATCTGATATGTCTCCTTTAAGGCACTTGAGCAAACTGCAATTATAGTAATGCATTAATGTATTTATGTACATATATTGTATATTAATAATTATAATATCAATACATCTGTGGTTATAATTTTAATGCATTTCTGCTGTCTTAAGCAGCATTATGGTATGATTCTGAGGTAAGTAGCATTGGTCAAATAACAAAAATTATTTTGGATTCTGACTGACTGGTTTATAACTGAACATTGTGAAAAGAGTAAAATCCAATTTGAAAACTGTGAGGTATAAACTTAATTAGTAGGTAATTAATTAAATAAGAAATATTATGAACAAAATTCAGTTTCTGAGGTATGGGTCGCTTCATGGCAAGGTTATAATTCAATGTAAATTAAAAAAAAGATGTCTTCTACTGAAAGATTTCAGGGAATAACAAAACACTAAAGTTCCAACGCTTTGAGGTCAATTCACCTTACAATTTTGAGAAAACTAAAATTATCAAGAACCAACATTTCTTAAGAAGAGATGTAGTTGAATACAATACAATAATGTATAAATCTAATTTAAATTATTTCTCCAAAGAGATAAAGGTGCAAATGAAAAGTAGAATAATAAAAATCTTGCGCAAAATCTCAAAATCACAATATCAATTGCACAACATTGCACTGGGGATTCTATAAAATATTTCTATGATTCTAAACAATACTGAGCTTCTAATATATTATATATGCTACAATACACTGTCAGGATACAAAGCAATGCCCGTTATCCCAGCAGAGGCTGAAATACACATAAGCTAAAGAAAAGCAGATGCCTAGTACTATAGTGAAGTAACAAAAGTCACTACATTGCGGTGATCAAAAAATGTGTCGCATTCCATCCATGTTCGTGTTGAAAAAGAAAAAGAAAGAAAAACATGAATTAGTACAAAATATTTATTTAATAATAAAATGGATATGTTATCTTTAATTAGGACACAGGGAGGAGATTGTATTAAGGAGGACTGCGAACACACACATATTGAGCTTATAAGTGATTTTATATTGAAATGCATTTAAAGCGATTTGAATTGCACCAGCGGATTCATCCCCTCCAAAGATTAGCTTGCAATTCTAATGAAGAAAAAAAGAATAAGCTGAGAGGTCCATGCAGGCAATGAGTCCAAAAAGCACTTGTTGAGTAACTTGAGTAACTTGATTATCTGATAACTATTTCTGAGGTTATTTTATTTCAATATCTTATATCTTATAAGATATCATCATACTGTTGCTATGCATTTGCTTAATTGTCTATAATAGAGCACTGACTAATTTTATTGACAGATCAAGGCCCTTGGAAGGGATTGAAATTAATATTATTATTATTTGATGAAGATTTAATCATGCAATTTATCATTCATTTTTTTAAATTACATGGCATTGATAGTGACTTTTGCCAAAGTTACAGACATTGAAGGCTGGTGGTTAGGCATATTATAGAATGTTTTGTTATTAGGCATTTAAGGGTTAATTTCTTTAACATGAAAAAGCAACATATTAAGATTGCGGGGTTTCAGGCAATTCTACTCATACATTTCAATATGATATTTCAATTTGTACATATTTTACAAGTGAAATGAGTTGGGTCAAAATATCAATTTCTAGCATAAACAAAATTGTTTTCTGGTAAAGCCCCAAATTATTGGTCTGAATCAGATTTGTATATTACACTATTGGGTTTGTAATATTTTGTTTACTCTTTTTATCCGGTGCACTCAGTGGATGGATCTTGTTTTTTCTTTGACAATAAATGAGTGCATTTGATATTCCAGCAGACATATCAAGTAATTTGAATTTTCCTTAAAACCATATCCAAAATTGATTAATTGAAGCTGAAGGTTATCATGACTCATGCAAAATGGAGTTAAGGGTTTTAAAAAGGGGGTGGATGACAGGGTTGAAGTTTAAGCAAAAAATGAATTAGGTTCATTGATTTAGGTGCCAGATGTTGATAAATTGACTCAACTCAAAATGAATCATTTATTCAATCAAATGCATTCAACAATATCTATACTACTATGACAATAAATACTTCTATATATGCAGTTGCTAAGCAACAGAAAGTAAACATTGAAAATTCTATATTCAAATAACATAACTGGCAAAATGTGTCATATCTCTCAACTAGGCAATATTTGATGGATTAAATATCATTTTAATAACAATAATAATGAACCAGTAATGAGATAGTAATTATGCAAATGGGCTAAATATGCAAATGAGCTACCTGTCAATTGGTGAGGACGATCTGGAGGTACTTGTGCTGTCAGATTCTGAAATTAACCAATATCACTGGGGGGTATCGTGATGCAACAACACCGTGTTGTTGCATCAAGATGGCCAGACTTCCGGTGATAGATTTTCGTACGATGTTTTGTTTTCCCAATTTACACCCATTTCTAGGACGAGTTGCTCAACAATCATACACATGCAGTTAGCACATGATCTATATTTTAAAAAACTGTCATTGGTATACATGTAGCATCATCAAGAAGCGATAAATTCGTGGTTTTAATTCCTCACTATTGATGCAACAACACCACTCTGTTTCTTATCGATGATGCAACAACACCAATGTGCTGATGCAAAAACGCCAATATAATGTATCATTGAACAACAAGAGAAACTCTTTTATGTTCTGTTTACAGGTGTAGGTCGGGACATGAATAAAACGCGTGAGTCAGTGGTCCATGGACGAAACGTATTTTGTTTGGTTTCTTTGTCTATATCAAAGTTAAAAGGATATACAAGGCAAACTAAATAAAGTACAGAATCCTCGGGAGGCAATCTCATTGATATTGTATCTGAAAAATAAAGATTATACATTTTCTAAATTAAATGCCCTTGATTTACCGTATGGAAATTGCTTACAAATAACTAATATAATTTTGGAAAGACAACAGATATCAGTCATTTTGTGTTGTTAGTACCTCAATTGAAATACTCAATTCTGATTGGTTGATGAGCGGGCAACAAAATGTATTGTTAGTACCTCAACTGAAATACTCGATTCTGATTGGGTGATTAGCGGTCAAAATTATGTATTATTATATACCTCAAATGTATTCTAGATGCTCATTGGCTTATTCATGGTCACATGACATGGAATAGATGAACAAATTCCCTGGAAAGTCCTAAATCCCTGCTTTCAGGGAAGATGAATTGTACTAATCAACAGTTAGGTCATGTGACCAGTCAATAGTACATTTTATCTTCCCCCAAATCTGAGATTATAGGAGTTGAAAGGTAAAATGCCTTTAAATGCCAATAAGAACCTGTGAACATTTGATATTGAAATGAAAAGACTTCTCAATTTTGTTTTTGTTTACAGAGTACTTATCACTTTATCAGGTATATAATAAAACAAATAGTGACTGCCACATTTTCGGGAAATAGTGTAAAAATTTTCCTCTCGGGAATATCCTGTCCACTGACTTGTTCCCTCGTCCTGCGGGAACATGTCAGTGGACAGGATATTCCCTTGAGGAAAATATTTTGCACTATTTCCCTCAATGGCAGTCACTATTTGTACACTGTTGACCGCTACTAGGTACTGTTGACCGCTACTTCTGAAAAAAGTTTCATGACGTCACAAAAAATCATGGAAGACGGACATTTTGTAAGTGTTGATGAAAATGACTTTACTTGGCGACAAGTATAGCAAAAATACAAATAGAAACTTACGCCGTGATGTGCCAAATACAGAGTTAAGCTTCTTGCACTGTCTCCATATTTTCTAAAAAAATATTGCTAACGTGGTTCGGAGAAAAGGTTGTGAAATGAAGCCATGCCGATTGATGATCGTCGTCTATATGTGTATTATTAGTTTACTCGGACTAACAAAACAATAGTAGACCTCTCCATTCGATCAACTGTCAAAATCATATACCTCGACTGTAAACCTTGAAACTACTGTTGACCTCGACCTTCGGTCTCTGTCAACAGTATTTTTTCGGTTTACAGTCTCGGTATACAATTTTGCCGGTTGGCCTCTGGGGAGGTCAACAATTGTAAACTGTTTTTTTTAATGTTGAAATTTTTTTAATTTTGAAAAAATAAGTTGTGTAAAAAATTACAAGTATTCGACGGTTTGGGGATTTTTGCTAAAATATGATACCTTTACTTATCAAATATGTTCACGTGATATTCGATTATATATTCGTCCAATTATTATATTATTTGGACTAACAGAACAATTGTTAACCTCTCTTTTCGGTCAACTGGCAAAAGTGTCCTCGACATCTGGTCTCAGTGATCAACAGTACTTTCAACGTTTACAGTATCGGTATACAATTTTGCCAGTTGACCTCAAGAGGGGTCTACAATTGTATATTGTATATCCTTTGTTATCCCACCCAAAGTATGATGTCATATATCAAGTTGAAGAGTTGTATACGCTGCTCAGGAGTTTACGCTATCCAGGAGTTGTACATCGTTCTCAAGAGTTGTATAGGATGAGTGTTGGTTTAATGATATTGCAGTTATACGATGCTATTATATAAAAGTTATTTACTGAGAGGGACTCAATATTGGTTTTATTTCGAGAGACAATATGATATTTCCCGAGGGCCCGGGATATCTGGGATAACTGTACCCCTATCAATTTACCTTTTTGGGCCCTAAATCTTATCACTTTTGTTTACCTTTTTACTCAGTCGGAGAGAAGGAATCCAAAGAGAGCAATAATTCTACATGTGCGTCGTGCAAGATTTCCATTAAACGTGTAACTAAACGGCCTCTCTAATAAAGTCAATTAGACGTTTTTACACGTTGGCTCTCCAAATTGTAGGAAATAAAGAATCATGTCATATTATATCATAGATGAAGCAATCATCCCATCAACATCAGCTCACGAATGTCACAGTTAAACTGTTTTAGTTATAATTTGATAAACAGTGGTAACGTACATCACTGGCGGATTAGGGGGGGGGGGCCTTTGGTGGGCCCAGAAAAAAAATTGGGCCCAAAAAGATTTTGGGCCAAAAAAGGCCTTCAGGCCCCAAAAAGTGGGCCTTTTTGATCATTAATGGGCCTTTTAAGGCCTTATTTTTTAATTTCAGGCCAAATTTTGAAGAAAATGGGCCTCTAAATTTCAAAATTTGGGCCCACTTTTGGGTTTTAGGGGCCCAAAATTTTTTTCCCAGCAAGCACGGACGTGTTTTTCTCTGACCTGAAATTTGGCCCCCCCCCCTTGTTGGTTCCCAGATCCGCCCCTGTACATCTACTAGTTTATCACTGTTCCACAGATGGATGACAGATAATATCATGATAATATCCAATAGCTCATCATGTTTACCGAGAACGAAAGATGTTTGTCCACCATTTTGAATGATACTAACTGGAGTCAGGGCCATCAAGCTATGGAACAGTGGTTTATGAAAATAGATTGGGTTACTAAAGCTTGCCATGTTAAAGGCGATTGAACTATGTTATAGAATAACGTCCAGTACATTATAATATGTAAAAGTATAATTTTTTGAAAATACATATAAAGGATCTTCGCCCACAGGACGTGTATTTTGAATGCCTTGAGAAGAACGCAAATATGGGTAGGCTAATTGGTAACGGTATTGCAATAGTAGCATTTAAAAATCTGTTCCTCTCGAGATTTATGGTCTTCTGAAATTATACTATTAATTGGTGTTGCTGCAGCATTGCTCAAATCTAGAGGAGTGTTGTTGCATCTTCGGTTTGGTGTTGTTGCATCAATAGTGAGGAACTAAAACCGTGAACTTATTGCTTCTTGGTGATGGTACATGTATACTAATGACAGTTTCTTTAAATATAGATCGTTCGCTAACTGCACGTGTATGGTTATTGAGCAACTCGTCCTAGAAATGGGTTTAATTGGGGAAACAAAATATCGTACGAAAATCTATCACCGGAAGTCTGGCCATCTTGATGCAACAACACGGTGTTGTTGCATCACGATACTCCCCAGTGAATATGTACAGTGTATTGAATAGTTTTATACAAGCCCATTTGACTCGGGTGTTATGTGTAAATTCATTATATTTTTCCAATGAGTCATATAATGTAAGATGTAATGTAATGTATAATGTAACTATACAAATACAACAACAATATTTGATTCTCTATTGATTGATGGAGTTACATAACATTGTAAATCAAAAAACATTTTATGGTTACTAAGATGAGGATTACAGTTAAAAGCCCTTTAAGGCATTCATTAAGATGGATACACAAAAGAACATACCTTGATCAGCACCTAGCAGAGAATCATCAAACTCTCCATGTACAGAATCAAGCACAATATGCTGTAGTAGGTCATATTGGAACTTGTTCTGAACCTCAGATGAGGATTACAGATATCAGCCCTTTAAGGTATTCATTAAGATGGATACACAATAGAACATACCTTGATCAGCACCTAGTAGAGAATCATCAAACTCTCCATGTACAGAATCAACCACAATATGCTGTAGTAGGTCATATTGGAACTTGTTCTGAACCTCAAAGCGATGGAGATTGGCAGAAATTTCTTTCACTTCATTCTCTTTCTGCATACATGCTAAGCCCTTAAATCATGATAAATATTCTTTAATATATAGTATTGCCAAATATTTCTGACTCTTGCTTTAAGTGGACAAATCCCTTATGGCAAGGGGTTAATTTTGTGTAAGCCCCAAATTAAATTTATGTACATATGTATGAAAATATTGTTGAACACAACAGTGTCATGAGAAAAACTCGTTTTTAGTAGATAAAGAATTATTCAAGCTCACTAAGCATGGACAATCTCGCAAAGGTACTCAAGCAAGAACCTTTTTGCATCATAAATAGATACAGGCCATAAAACGTTTACCTCACTGACACCATGAAACATTTACCTTGTTGACAGCTAGGGCCATAAAATGTTCAATTAGATATTTTGCTTCCTGAAGGTTACATTTCTCCAGTAATGGTGCAGGGTCTAAATCTTCCATGTCTCTGGATTCCTCCATTTCCATAATCTCATTCTGGCAATCTGAGATTCGATCCTGGGCATCATTGACTTGCATCTGTAAGCTTGATATCTGCTCATCTAAAACTCTCATATCTTCAGGAGTCTGAAAGGTAGACATAAATGCTCTTTAAATATGAGATTTTTTGAATCTGCCATGACATACAATTCACAATTCACAATTTTATTCACAATTTCTTTTCCATACCCAAGAATAAAGACATAAAAGTCTATTACAGAGTATATACTCGTATATTTTACCTTGTTGCCCATTTTCAGTGCATTGTCTCTAGTTGCTTTTCTTTTCTCTGTTTTCTTTATCAGCTCATCTCGTCTCTAAAGTAAAAATAATTGCATAAATAAACCAGAACAACGGCAACGCCAAAGCGTAGCGAATCCCATCGAACAGAAATGGCTGGCATTTTTACAAACGAAATATATAGCAAATATCATAAAATAACACACATAAGAAAGGCCACCATTTTCAAAATGGTTGCTCACTAGCCAAGTTGTCATCAGAAGAAGTAATATGCTTTTTCTTTATAGTATTCACATACCAAATATGAACAAAATCGCTCCGCTACTTCTTGAGTTACAGCAAAATTCGTAAAATAACGAGGAAATGCCGCCATTTTTCAAGATGGCTGACATGTGCTTCTTTAATATCTATATTTCTAGCTTTATCAATGTCCTATATAATTTTTTTACATTTAAAACATATTGCTATTACAGTTTTACATATTGCACCTAAATTACTGTAAAATCGGCACTAAAATGGCCGCCATTTTTAAATGAGCAGCCATTTTGAACGTATGTGTACGAAATATGAACAAAATCGGGCCAACGGTATTTGAGTTATTGCCCGGACGGACAGACGGACGTACGTATGGACGGATGGACGGACGGAGACGTTCCCTATATCCCTCCGAACTTCGTTCGATGGGATAATAACAATACACAGGGGTGATAACAAAGGAATTCTACTATATTGGGGCACATATGAAAGGAAGAGACTTATTCTTATTACTTTTATGATAGAATTCTTCACTGCATAGAGGTCTAGGTCAGTTGAATAGCTAAAATGAATGAACTGAGCCAGCAATTTTTTCACCACAAAGAATACGGGTAAAAATACAATAAAGTATCAGATAAATAAGGTTTTTGTACTGGGTGGTTTTGGGTATGGGGTTTATCAAGTGGGATTTATGCATATCTACCTGAGGGACCATAGGTAGATGTGCATATCTCACGAGGGATAAACCCCATATACAAACCGACCGTGCATAACTGCTTTATCTTATAACCAGTAGATTTTTCTCATTTTTTTCAATTTCTTTTCACATTTTTTTCAAATTTTTCCAATAGTTTTTTCGACTTTTTCAAAGCAGGAAGATATACCCTGGAGCGGGAGATATGGAGGCTCTGGATATGGGAACCTCAAAATCAGGATATGGAATATATCTTACCAACCTATGTCCCTAAAACTCTACTTGGCATAGGATAAGAGGGCTGACATATTTTGGGTTTATTAACTACTCTTACCTTCAGCCAGAGATCCATGTCTTTCTCGATTGCAATCAGAGTCTGTTTTCTTGACACAGTTTTTATCACCTGAAAAAGATGTCATATCAGTTGTGTACATCAAAACAGAAAACCTATTACTAGACAGCTTCTTATGTTACAGCAAGATATAAATTAAAAATATTTTAAAAAAATTAAATGAAAAATAGGAACCTAAAAAACTTATATCACAGTGTAAATAGACATAAGATAAAATATGTAAGCTCACATTTTTTTCTAGTGTATCCCACTTTTGTTTGGCAGCTTTAGCTGAGAATTCTCCTTTACGTCTCCTGCGGGATATTGGATCAACAGGCCTTGTGAGAGGGCGGTCATAGCTCCCTATACGTCCTGCAGCCTTGGCAGACATGGGCCGCTGTTGTTCTTTTCGTCTCATCGCTAGCATCTGGAAAAGGAACAAATATTGGATAATGAAAAATTTGTTTTAGCTCAGGTGTGTTGTTTTTTGAAAACAAAAAAGTCACAGTCATTTTAACTTTAGTGTAAAAATGTGGCATGCAACTGATAAAAAGTGAAATAAAGTAGTAGAAGTAATAGAAAAAAACTATGTGTCAATTATAATTGCATGTATAAGTTAATGAACTATGTAATAATTCATGAAGATAAGATATTTCAATAACATCACATTTTGACATCTATTCTTATTAGCAATACCTCTTCTTGCTTTCTTCTTAGTACAATCTCCTTCTGTCTATTTTCAATCTCAAGACTTTTAATTCTCCCCTCTTTCTTTCGTTGTTCACGTTTCAGTCCCATCACCTCCCGCTGGTTCCGCATCTCAGCTTGCTTCGACTTCTGCGCTTCCTCCTTCATTTGTTTCATTAACTTCACCTATGATGGACATTTCATTCTATTTTCTATTTTGAAATAATTAATGTTCAAACCACTCAATCCAGTTTTGAGAACTCTTGTGTAATTTTCATGACTATAAATAAGTAACCGTAATTTAAATAAAATAAGTCATATTTTACACATTTTTATGTAGATATGTTATGGTAACAAACAGAGTTCAAAATCAAAATGTTTTGATTAGAATGATAATTGATTAGAAATGACATCTTCCAAAAAGAAATGTTGAACTTTTTATAAAAATGAGGAACTACTGTCATTGTTCCCATTGAAATTTCAAGCTTTAAAAATCTCACGCAAACCTTTAATTTCTTCATATCACTGAGCTCCTTTGTAGCTGTCTTCAGTTGCATTTGATAGGATGTATTATTCTTCACTAGTTTTGCGTGTTCCTTGGTTGCTGCTGACATCTTCTTGAGATCACTCTGAAGATCATTCAGCTTCTTCTTGAACTCATCTCTGACCTTAGCAACCTTCTCACTGGAATGATCCTTCTCTGTAATGGTAAAAAAGATAAAAACTTTATTGATATCATCTATTATAGCTAACTCACTTCTTAAAAAATGACATAATATTTCAGCCAGCCCCTTTTGTTTGAGTCTACCACTCCATTACTGATGAATGATCCAAAAACATCAGGCATGTGTAAAACTTGTGGTGGTTACAAAAAGACGATGGGATTGACAACATACCTAAACTTTGTAAAACCTGGTCCCTTTCTTTCTCAGTGTCCTTGATCCGCTGACTTAAAGATTTCAACTTCTCTTCATAATGTTGCTTCATGGCATTCATCTGCTTCTGACTGCTTTCTAACTTCTCAATAAGCTGCTCCTTTATATTAATATCACAAGTTATGTTGGCCAGTTCCTCACTTATAATTTCATTTCCTGGAACCATGAATTTACATGTTAATTCAAAATGTTCACCACATCTAATGCAGTCGCCTTTAATCTTAATATCTGCTTCCATAATTGTTGACATATTTACATGGGTTTGGATCTTTATGGTATCCATCTTGATTTTTTGGTCTATATTAGTGTAATAAATTTTGTGTATGTTAGTTAAGAAGATATATGCTATACGAAAATATTTCTTACTTCAGGCATGATTTTGCTAATGTTAGTTTAATTATGCTGGAATGCATCCAATGAACGTAATTTACAATAAGAAGTGTACTAAATGACTTCATCCTTCCCACAAACAGAAAGATACCAAAATAAAAAAAAACTTTTTCATTGAAATATATCAGTTGATATGAAGCATCAAACCTATCCAAAACATTAACTCATTGTAAATTATATTTTTTTAAATTTTTTTGTTACATTTTTAGAAATCCATATATGAAATAGTGTCTGATGATGTTTTTTTTTACCTTTTTCTTCTGAATCAGAATCTGAGCTAACTTCCTCATCTTCGTCATCATCCACATCGTCATCATCTTCATCATTGTCATCTTCATCATCAACATCGTCCTCCTCATCATCTTCAACCTTCTCATTCTCATCAGCCTCTTTGTTTGCCTTACTCTCAACATTCTCCTTATCACTGAAGTAACAATATTAATTTATAATCAATTAATTATACATTTAATAATACTTAATCAGGGTGTGGTATTATCACTAGCTCAGTTGCCCAGATTAGGCTAGTTTTGATCTGACAAGCTGTTTCTGTGTGAAGGATGAAGGACCCACGGTCCTATGCTCACACAGTTTGGAACCTTCAGAGGAATTTATATCCTGACTTTCAAACAAAAATATTGATTTGGATTTGTAGTCTCGAACTTTGAGAAACTTAGATAGCATAGTTATGTGACCTAGTTTGATGACCCTTGACCTTGAAAATTTTACTTATTCAGAGCTCAGTAAGGTCTTTTGTGATTAAGCTGACCAAAATTTACATCCAAAAATCAATTTGAAAAACAACTTTTTTTGACCTTTCGAAGGTCACTGAAGGTCAAGTAAAGGTCAAATCCTAAAACTAATGTCAGATTTGAACTCCTGGCAACTTGTAGATGATTTTCAAAAAAAAATTTGGTCAAATTGAAGCAAGTTGAAAAATAACTTATTTTTACTGTTTTTTGACGTCAAATATTTCAAAAACGGTAAAAATTTGATGCTGACATATATTGAGAAATATGTAATGATGCTTAAATCTATTAATGATGTAATTTATTGCAGGAAATGATCAAGTATAAGGCAAACTTTAAGAATCTTGTCAATCACAAAACCTGCCATTGACTTTATACATGAGAAAGTTTCCTGAAAATGACTAAGTCCTACTTTTTTTCAAATTTTATAGAGTAAACACCAAAAACCGTAATTCCAAGAGCTTTGAAATCTTCAGAGGACATAAGTTGCATATACACCAACTACTAAAAGTTATTTGAAAGTTCTACTTCAACAAAGTGTTTAGTATTTACAGAAAAGTTGACTTTTTGACGTCAAAATCCGCAATTTCTCGGAAACCGGGCGAACTTGGGAAATGGCGATGATAGGTCAAATAGGCATTATGGATATGCATAAAATGAATGTGGATATGACTCAATCCGAATAGCAGTTTTAATTTGTGCGGCCAATGTTGACGGACGGACGGACAGACAGACGGACGGATGGACCAACGGACGGACGCCTGGTCAATCCCATAGGCTCACTGTGTGAGCCAAAAATGACATGACATCTGGTTCATGTTCCTGGTTCCTTGATTTAATCCAACTTGAACAGTTCACATAAATGGTTCCTAAATTGTCAGTAAAACCTGAATTATCATTGAAACCTGAACATATAAAATCTTTATGCAGTTCAACACATATTGACAACTTAACTTTATTACAAAGAATTTATTTCAGCGAATCAAAAAACTGGTTAAATTGGGTCAAAATGTACAGGATTTTAAGAGTAAGGATGGAAACACATGAAACCTATTGAGTTTTTTGCATTATAATGTAGCATGTTGTGCTTACTGTAAAAGATAAGCAGTAAAAAAGAAATCTACTAACCTCTCACTGGTGCTCTTGGTCCTTTTAACTTTCTTCTTTGCTTTAGCAATGTCTCTCTTGGCCTCTTCGATGACTGCATTTAGGTTGTTATCAGGACTAAAAGTACCACTAATCCTGCTAGTGTGCCCATAGTCAAAGATATTTGAGCTGCTGGGGCTAGCTCTTGTGGGAGTGCGGGAATGTGAGGCTGTGCGTTTTATTGTTTCACACATTGCTTCTGATTCTGTAAGTCTAGTGCGTAGTTCTTCTATCTCATGAATGTAGCCTTTGACTAGACTTGTGACCTCATCACTAGGCGCATCACCTGATAGAACAATGTTTTCATAAAGTTTTGGACAATTTGGGAGTGCCTGATAAAACTGAATCATGTGATCTAATTATGCGCCGATGACGTATACATGATTGCTGTTGCAATGTTGCGACACAAATCAAATTGCGAGTTTTTAATTGGGGAAATGCTAACTGCTTATCGTAGGGGGTAAAAAGAAAGAAGATATTCTGGATTTTGAAGCCCTGTGATCGGAGGATGTATAAACTTTGCCTGAAATGTTCATTTGAGCTCTACCTGAAATATCTACATGGGCTTTACCTGAAATGTTTTGGAAGTCTAATATGGCCTTGTCTGCTAGTAGCTGTGTGTTCCTAGCCTGTAAATGTTCTATAGTCTCTTGTAGGGCCTTGATTCTGGCACGTAGATTCTTATTGTCTGTTTGTATCATAGCATTCTCTGTGACAAGATCATTCAATGCTTCACTACCATCTGCATCCATTGTCCTTTTACCCTACAATTACTTCTTTTTATATAAATGTGTTTCATCATCATTGGTTATGGATCAAGAATTCCTTTCTCAACCCTCTATTGCTCAGGTGGGGTCTATTATGACAATGGAGACCAGGAGGATTGAATTTACACTTCATAATACAATGTACATGAATGGCAAACACTTCTAAAGGCAAAAGCAGCACACAGGCAAGAATAAAGATCATTTGACACAATTTAGCTTGCAAATCGAAACTTACAGTCTTATATTCCATAAGTTCTTCTTGTAGAAGTATTATTTCTTGTCTCAATGCTGCTATCTGTTTGCTGGTCTTGTCCTGGTTGACGGACACTTTGTTCCTGATATTCCGTGCCCTATTGGCGTATTTCAGTGTACTCAATGTCTCCATGAAGTCTCTGTCACAAGGTGACACACAGGCTATCATCTGTGTGCGACTGAAACAAATACAGAATCAAAACTGAATGGTAGTTAAGAAAGCTGTGTAAAAACAGCATTGTACAGATTTTTTATCATAACACATGGATAAGAAGAGGTCCTTATTATGAAATCAGCACTGTTATAGGGCCAATAATGCCTGGATATAGGTCCTAACAATGTTGAAAAAATAATGTTTCTTTAAACAAAGTTCAATAAAAAATATTCAAATATTTGCTGTAAATTAAGTGCAAATATATTTATGGTTAGTCTTAAATATAACATACCTGTTTCCACCAAGTGAATCCTGTAGAAGCCTGGTTAGCTTAGAGTCCCTGTATGGCACATGGGAACCTTTCTTTGTCTTGTCTCCCAGGGCTGAGATCACATTACCCAGGGCCAGCTACAACAAACAAAGACACTATGATTACATTGACTGCTTAAATTAGATAGACTCCTAAGATAAGATTAGACCGACTGCAAGTAACTCACAAACATATATGGCACCATTTTTAGTGTATAAGTAAAGAGATCAGCAACCTTTGTTGAAAATAAAACAAGTTAGTCCCACATATGATTCTCTAAAGTTTTATTTCAAAGGGAGGTGTATTGTTGAACATGTATACAATAGCCAGAAATATCCAATGAGTTAGTTTACATCTTTGTCCCAACCCTATAATGATATGACTCAAGTCCAAAATCAAACAGCTTTCAGACCTATCACAAAGAAAAAAGGACTCACAAATTTTAATGAAAACATAACAACACATACCAGTCCAGAATTGATAGAAATTCCCTCTTTCATCCTATCCCCAGTAGCTCCTGTTCGTTTTAGTCTCTCAGAGCCAGCCAGATCAACAAAGTGGAATTTGGCAGTGAGTGTTTCGAACTCATTCATCACTTCAGTTGTATCAGTCTCTTTTTCACCCTCCTCTCCATCCTGTATAATACAATTTTAATTTTAACAAATATGTTTTTGAATTGATTCCATCCGTTGATATTGTTTGTGCAGCATTGTTTTTTCTTAGTATTCACATGTTGCTCTTTGCATTTTCTGATTAATTTATTTGATCTTCATAAGCACCTGTCTGTTTTATAACATCAAATCATCTATACATGTTATATGTTCATCTGAAAACTACAGGTTTTCTTTTACTATAATCAATCAGGGAATAATAAAAATTAGCAGATTGAACTCAATTGTTTCAGATTTTATGAACTTTGGTTCTTAATGCAAATATCATACATGTTATTTGTATATGTTATACACAAACCTATCCAAAGAAAATTCATATTTCATCCAAAATTTGTGCAAATCAACCACTTGTTGGACATACCTGATCTTCACGAACAACCCTGTGTTGTTTGACATGTAGTGTAAAGATGGCGTGACTGCGTGATGATGTAGCATTCATGTTCGTACTGGCTGTTGTACGAGATAGAGCACCAACTTTTAAGCATTGCATAGTCTGAAACCAATAAATGATTATTTACAATTTCAAAGAACTACCATCTTTGGACGAACACACTTTTTGTACAAATGGTAAGGCTCCTGACAGCACACCAACTTTTACCATGCACCAGAACATCAAATGAATCATATACAGATAAAAAATTCTATTTTTCAAACCACAGTTAAAGCCTTTACTCCATTGTTTCTGAACACCTAATAGATTTATATAAATGTAATTCATTTCTATACATGTAATTCATGTCCAATCAACAAGCACTTTCCAATAATGCATATTTAGCCACATTTGGTTATCTTGTTATTTTCCTTTTTAAGAAATATAAAGCCAATAATAAGAAAAAATATAAAGCCAATAATAAGTAAAACACAAATATGATGATTATATTCCCCATCCATTGTACTTACATCATCAAGTGAAGTGACAACTTGTGTCGTAACACCAACTGTATAGATGCCCCCAAAGGCGTCTTCATGGATCTTGATGTGTGATTTACGACCCTAAAACACACAAAAAGCATATATATGAACAATATGTACAGGTACATTTAAAAAAATCAAGTCATGATTCTTATGACAAATGTACAGGTATAAATAACATATTATTATGACATTGCAGATAACCAGCAATTTATATCTGATGAATTGTAGATACAATGTACGAGCCTAAATACATATATTGATGTCTTGGAATAATTATATCAATCAAAAGATAGCCATTAATTGAAATGCAACATAAAACTTTATAAAAGGAGTGCAATCAGCAAGGAATAAAATACATGAAACCAATAAATTGCCAAGATTTTATATTATATGGAAATACTAGAATACCAGCCAGGTCATTCAAATTTTAGAGTGAAGATGCATAAAATGAACATGAACACAAAACTATAGTTTTCTGATGTCTACCTTTTCTGTAGGGTCCCTGGTAGTGTCCAATAAGTCTATGATTTCCTCATTGTACAACTGAAAGAAAAATCAACATTTGATAAGCAAAATATTAAGTTTATCAATGTGTACAGTTCAAACTTATTTCCATATTTTTCCTGAACTTATATAACCCATGGAACATTGGATATTCTTGGCTAAGAGGTTATGTACTTGAAGTTCAGGTGAAACTAACATGATAGACTGTTTTACTTGCACTAGGTGAAAGATGCATGTTACATTTCTTAGGAAAAATATATGCACTGAACTTCTCATTTTGTTTTTTATGCATTTAGAATTATTTATGTATTTTTATTCCAAAACACCAGGGTTTGAATTTAAGAGCTTATTTTCCACATTTGAGCCATTAGTGTCAGATCAATAGACAAGCATGCATTTATATTTCAAATTCAGAAACATAATTGATAAAATGTTTCATGACTCAAATATCAAATTGAACATTTCTTGATGCTATCACATAAAAGTTGAATAAATGTCAACTTAGATTTAAGATTTCAAAAGCACTGATCCTGAGTGGAGATTATTATCTCCATCATTATGTTGGTTCACTGACCAAGCCAAAGCAGGCAATAGTAGCTAGTTGAAATTTGAATTGGGTTTCTGATATTTCCACATCAGTTTGGCCTTTTGCTTCAGAATCTAAGCATTATTTCCTGTTAAATTTCTATGTGACGTCTAATTTCCAACTTTTGCATATTTTAAAATAATTTATGTAACATGTAGTAATAATTAAAGGGGTAAACATTCTACAAAGTAGGAAGTTAAAGATGCATTATACCATAGGTTTCTCCCCCAGACAACCAATGATGTCCTATTGTTATTGCTCATATAATATCTCACAAACCATGGATATATCTTGAGAATAACTTTTGGGTATATTATTGCCGAAATACTGAAATAATCAACAGAATAACAAACCTCCAGAATTAAACACAATCGATTCCTCGGCTAGCGAGGGGAATCCCCATTGAGCCACACAAGCGCCTTGAACCAGGCAGCCAATCAGCTTCATGATAAACAAATTCAACGACCAATCAGATAACAGGAGGACTTTCCCGGTATATTCAAACTTCAGATTGAATTAATTTCCGCGAAAATAATTAGATTGGCCAGCACAATCGCAAAATTTACACTGAAAGAGGGGGATTTGAGACTTTTTCTATGGTTAGTAGATGGGTGAATATGTGGTGAAACTCAATATGCAAGTCCAGAGGGGTCTTGATTGTGCTATCCTATGGCATAGAGCCTCTTTAAATTGTTTCAATTGAGGAAAAAAGGATTCCAATTGTCAACAATTGTGGAGAAACAAAGTTGGTTTCATAAGGGAGGGGAATATGACGATTTCAATTATTCTTCATGAAAAAAAAACAATCTTGTGAAATCAACATTTTCATATTTTCCATATATGGAGAAGGGTGTGTGTGCAGGGGTTAAATCATAACAAAGTTAACAGAAAAATGCTGTTATTCAAGTGAAAATCAAGTTGATGGCAAATCAATATTTTTCATTCAATATATAGGGGGGGGGGGGGGCATAACAAAACAATTTTGTTCATCCATAGCTATTAGAACATAAGGACACCTTCTCTAAACTGTACAGGATTACAGGATTACCTACCTCCATGAACTCAGCATGCACCTTGAAGTCAGGTGGTGGGAGTTGATTCTTAATAGCATCATCCCTTCTCTTTTCAATCCCATTGAATAAATGGGCAACTGCCCTTGGTATAATCCCCACAATCTCTGGAAGGATATCTGGTTCAAACCCTGTGCCCATAGTGAAGGTTTTCCCAGACCCAGTCTGAAAGTAAATCAAATAGATTTTAAAGTTTTTAAACAGGTTACTTAATTATCTACTACTACTCAATTATAGACAGATGTACAATACATATAAATACATGTATATAAATATGTAAATACATGTATATGAATGAGATTAATAATGATAATGACCGCCTTGTACCAATGATCTTCTAATAATTTGTTCGAACTGGCAACTTTAATGTCTTGTGCAATTATAAGTTGGCCTGATCATAGTTATGATGTATGTAATTGACGTTGAACCTAACCTAACTTACGTGTGTTTATGTGTTACTATTGTGTATCTAGTGCCTATTTAGTTAGATAACAAAACATGTTCATCTAATTAGAGGAAAGCCCTGAAACGGCCAACTCATTATCTTTACATACAAGGTTGGACATACACCCGATTACTTGCAGTAAATCTGAATGAACTATTTGCTCAAGAAAAAATCATTACTTTGCATTTATTTGCATTGTCTGAATCTATATATGATCTCTGTGTTATAAGGCACATTAGTGGGAGATGGTATCTTCGCATGCTCCGCTCTTCACCGCGTTCAACCGACGGGAGCCGAGTAAGCGAAGATGGGGAGAGGATAAACTGGTCATTGTCAGGAAATTGTGACACAAATCTCAAGACTATAGACTAGGAAAATAGCATTGTTAACTGGCATCACTGGTGTTTTTTTTACCTCAAGTGTAGTCTTACATGGTTATAAAATCATGATAAATAAAACACTGACAAAATTCAATTATGAGACCACACATCTTACATATCATGTCAATATGTGCTACCAACACGCCACCTATTGCAAACAGCTGATATATCAGGATCTTTCAACATTCAGGATTGTAAATACCAGAGCAATGTAAACCACAAACAGGCACCAATCAAACACAATATTCCAAACTCAACCACAAACTAATTTTGTTTTGGGAAAGTAAGTAACTCTCGTTCCATATGGTATAGTCTTGATTTTAACATTACATTAACATGATCTTACCCAGGATCTAAAAAAGGCGAGGCAAATTTATATAGTTGAGGCAAAAATATAAGCAAATGCAAAATAACATTATCAAGCAACTTCATTTTCACAGTTAAATTGAAAAATGTCTGCATATGAACTACATATGAACAATAATCTTGTTTCAGGAAATTGAGGAAAATCAGATGTTATGAATGAATGAATCTGAGAAATTGATATATTTATGCAATCTCTTAATACGTACTTCAAAGATTTACTATTCTTGGAGAGGAAATGATCTGAAGAGCATAGCTTAATTTTGCTATGCAGGCGGCAGAATTATTCTATGGTCTGACGCAGAATCCCCTGATTGAAAAAATAAGATTCGTTCCAAGTATTCATTTCCTATGATGTGCCTGTTGCTAGCTGGAATTCAATACAACATGGATTCAACTTGACACAACATGGATTATGTCTGAGACTTTTATCTTGACTCAACATGAATTAATATATCTCATGTCTTAACCGCCTCTAATTCCTTCCTTAACCCCCTCTTCCTTCCAATTTTGAAAAGAAGTCCAAGATTCTCATAATGAGAGAGCACAAAGGGCAACATTAAGAGAATACAAAACAAGGCTACAAAGAATAACCCGATATTTTTTAAGGGTACCTTGATAACGAGAGCAACAATTATGAAATGGAACAAGATTGATCATCTCTGTAATGAA